CTTGGGAACGGTGAGGGTCGTCGATGGGGAAGGGGGGAAGAGCGTCACCGAGTTGTATTTTGCGGGCGAGAATGGGGAGGTGAGGGAGCCGCCGGCGTTGTTGATTTCGAATCATAGGACGCCGCATACGACCACTTTGAGCTTAAGGAGCTTCATCAGTGGGCTGGGCCCGCCGAGGTCGAGAGGGAAGGGGGTGGAAGGTCGGGGGGAGGGGAGGGGGTTGTTGTTGAGGGAGGATTTTACGACGTGCGATGACATGGGGACGCCGACGACGACGAGGACGAATGAGGTTGGGTTGGAGGGGTGTTGTGATCAGTATCGTGTTGGGTTTGGTCGAGGTCAGCCACCCGCAGCTAGGGAGCAGACGACGCCTGAGAAGAAGAGGAGGGGTGGTGTGAGGCGTTATAGTGGGAGGTGGGGGGATAGTCAGGAGAGTTTCGTGCTGGGACTGAATGATCCCAACAGCCCAAGCCGGCTAACACCGGTCGACCGGGTTAGGAAAGGGGAGGGCAACCGACAAGGAGAAAAGAAGGCATAGAGACAAGATTTGTTCAATCTTGCCTGTTCCATTTTTCAGAGATGTCCGGCTCATTTTCACCTTACCAACCTTCACAATTTGTGGGTCGCCCCCTGCCCTTCGACACCAGCTTCCTTTCCCCAAATAATTCTATGCGGGGGTGATCGTACGACCCCGAACTGTCAAGCTGGTAGGGCAACCAATAAGTGATGAATGGGACCTTTCCAAGAGGTTTTAGGTGCCTTTTCAAGGGTCGTGATGCTGGGAGGGCTGCATATGTCAAACGGTTGGAGCTACGACGCCACGCAGTACATATAGCCCATCCTGTCACCATCAACAACGAGCTGCCTGTTTTGCATATGCTCGACATCACAGGCCAGGCAGTCACGCAGTCACGCAGTACTACCAGGGTCTAGACAAGAGAGCCGAGGCATCTCCGAGAGATAAATCAAGTCAGCGGAATTCAAGCCATTCCCACGAGTCAGGTGTTGAAAATGAATGTTTGTGACTCAAAGAATTTGTTTTCTCTGCCATGTCTCCGGATATCTGGAAGGTGAAAATTGTTTGCTCGGTCAGAGGGGAACTCCAGGCTGAATTCTGGCAATGTGTTGAGAGCTGCCTTTTTGCCTCGGGCCGATTCCCGAGCCCACCTCCTGGCAGAGCTATTCAGACGAGTTTGCATATGTCAAGCTAGTGTTAGGGACGGTGGAGACATGTATGCGGTAAAGGCTGACCAGCAGATCCTAAGCAAAAAAAAAGGAAAAAAAAGGAAAAAAAGGAAAAAAAAGGAAAAAAAACGAACAAAGGAAAGAAAAGAAAAAAAGGAAAAAAAACCAAAAAAAAAACCAAAAAAAAAAAAACCAAAAAAACAAAAAGAAAGATGGTAATGTTGCGTTGCCTCTGAGATGATCAAGGCCTCCCACGTGTTCATAGATGGACAGGCCTTTGAACTATGTAACAAGCTTTCTGAGATTTCAATAAGTGATTTCTAGATGTTTGAGATCTACCACCCTACCTAGGTGCTCAGCATGATTCAGGCGTTGATATTGCGTTGCAAGTCTCTATCATGAGCGGTGTACTAGTTCTTGCACGTGCTCTTCGTTTCACAAGGAAGGCGGTGGGTTTGGGTGACGTTGTCCAAGAGTCATAGAACATCGTGAGAGACTTGCCAATACTAAAAACTCCAGGCGCAAATAGGGGAGAGGCGGCACCGGGCGGCAAAAGTCCCCACCAACCCAGGCCGGCGTCGGACTGGTCCAACTTGGCGATAATTACCCAACAGCCAGAAAGTTTGACCAGTGAAAATTTGGAAATTGGAGATGCCCAGAGGAGGCTAACGGGGGACAAAGACTTATCCATTTGGGATACGGGGGTTTGATGCTGGCTTTGGCGCTGACGCAGCTTTGACTACAATGAGAAGAGTCTCCATAAGTTTATCGGCAGTGAGTTGGATGCCACTCTTTATGGATATCAGAATGGAGCAGCTGTCACAAAAACACCAATGGTGTCAATGGTGAAAAAGTAAAGTGGACCATCAAAAGTCGGGGTAGTTGGAGTCTGGTGGAGATGGCATGGATGGTTCTTCAACCCCGCGGGGTGACTCTCCACCTCCTCCGCATTTCGAAGTTCCATGATCCATGTCGTCTCTGGGGAAGTTGGTAGTGAGGCAAGGACAGCCCGGCCACGGTTGGGCGCGTTGGCAGTGGTGGGCAACTTCAGCTTCAAGCAAATGCAGAAACATGCTAATCGCAAAACAGCAACATGACCGGCCAGCGTGCATCCTTCGGACTGCACTAGTTCCCCAGATCCAGAAGCACACCGGCGGTGGAACCAGTTGGCCATCCGCGGTAATGCCCCCCCCCCCCCCTCCCCCAACCAAACCCCGGCCTGGCCTCCCACAGTCCGGATCTGGTCCCCCGCATCGATAGGCAGTTGCTGGCCACTCACCGCACCAGAACACTCAGTTGGAGGAGTTGGGGATTGCCGACTTTCAATGCCGTTCACTTAAAGTTTGCGTGCGGCTCCCACCGGATCGTCTTGGAAGCCATCGAGGCTACCTTGGCTTGTCGTGTAGGGCCCCAAGTTCCCCAGAAATGTCCTGGATCTGTGACATCTCCACCCGTCGGATAGTGTACGGGGCCAACGGGGTCACCGCATCGTGAAGACATCTATTCCCACGGGTGGAAAATCCCACATGGCAAAACGTCATCCACTCCTACCTTGACATGGGCCAGAGACTTTTGGATAAAGAGCAGCTCTTCGTCCCCCCTTCTTGCCGTTCTGTTAGAGGACCTCCTCCCCATCCCCTCTTGCCCCCTTCCAACGGACTTGACCCGATCGCCTCCCCCCTCAAACAGCAACTATGGGTGAAAAGAGAGCTATTACCCCCGAGGCCAGCTCGTCTTCGGACGAGAAGGCCGTCGCCCACCACGCCGAGGGTCACGGAAAGAACCACGCCGCTGCCACAGACGAGTATGTTTTTTCCACATTGCATTGCACCATGGATAGAGCCAGCACCGTGCTAACCCAGCGTGACAGATATGGCAACGCCCTCATCCACATCGATCCTGAGGCTGAGCGCAGGCTTCGGTGGAAGTTGGATCTCATGATCGTTCCCACTGTTGCTTTGCTCTACCTTTTCTGCTTCATTGACAGAGCAAACATCGGCAACGCCAGGATTGCTGGTCTCGAGAAGGATCTCAACCTTACCGGCTACGACTACAACGGTCTCCTCTCCGTCTTCTACATCTCCTACATTGTTTTCGAGATCCCATCCAACATCGGCTGCAAGTACTTTGGCCCCGGCTGGTTCATCCCCACCATCTCCCTCGGCTTCGGTGGTCTTTCCATCGCCATGGCTTTCGTCAACAACTTCGCCCAGGCCGCCGGTGTTCGCTTCCTTCTCGGTGCTTTCGAGGCTGGTATGCTTCCCGGCATCGCCTACTATCTCTCGAGATGGTACCGCCGTTCCGAGCTCACCTTCCGTCTCGGTCTCTACATCGTCATGGCTCCCATGGCCGGTGCCTTCGGTGGTCTCCTCGCCTCCGGCATCCTCCAGCTCGAGAGCTTTGGCAGCCTGACCTCTTGGCGCATGATTTTCGCCATTGAGGGCGTCATCACCTGCGTTCTTGCTGTCATTTCCTACATCACCCTCACTGACCGTCCCGAGACGGCTCGCTGGCTCACCCAGGCGGAGAAGGATCTTGCCATTCTCCGCATCAAGTCTGAGCGCGTCGGCACCACCGAGGTCCTCGACAAGATGGACGTCAAGAAGCTCATGCGCGGCATCCTCAACCCTGTGACGCTCAGCACCTCGTTCATTTTCCTGCTCAACAACATCACCGTCCAGGGCGTCAGCTTCTTCGCCCCCACCATCGTCCGCTCCATCTACCCCGGCAAGTCCACCGTCATGACCCAGCTCCTGACTGTGCCCCCGTATGTCGTCGGTGGATTCTTCACTCTCCTTCTGCCCGCCATCAGCTGGAAGATGGACCGTCGCCAGATCATCATCATGTCTTGCACACCCCTCGTCATTGTCGGCTTCATCATCTTCCTTGCCACCACCAACACCGAGGCCCGCTATGCCGCCATCTTCTTGCTCTCGTCGTCCATCTTTGCGCTTGGCCCCATGACCAACTCGCAGGTCAGCGCCAACGTTGTTTCGGACACGGCTCGCAGCAGCGCCATCGGCATGAACGTCATGTGCGGAAACATTGGTGGGTTGGTGAGCACTTGGTCTTTTCTGCCTACTGATGGGCCGAACTATCCTATCGGTAACGGCCTGAACCTGGCGGCCATTTCGACCATCTTGATTGTTGCTACTGCGGTGCTGTTCTGGATGAAGAAGGATAATAAGAGGAGGGAGGCGTTGAGCGTGGAGGAGGAGCTGGCGGGGATGAGCAGGGAGGAGGTGCAGGATTTGGATTGGAAGCACCCTGCTTTCCGGTGGAAGCCTTAGATGTTTTCTTTCAACCTGGATGGGGAATGGAATTGTGTAGTTTGTCATAAGTTGGAAATCTTTTTTTTCTTTTTTTTGGTATCATGGATTGGACATGGATCATGACGATGTATAGATGATACCTCCTGCTGCTTGCTATTGAAGAGCGCTGTTTGGGATGTAGCGGATGAAATATTTATTTGAATGTTTAAAGAAATACTCTTCTCTCGTTTCTTTGTGACCTGTTGGTCCATTATCAGATTGGTTGTCATTATCACCCGGTCAAGTTCCCCTGCCAAGACCTCCTCTCCTACACCTTTGTGAGCACGACGTAAATTAAGTGCCCTCGGGGCGAGCACTTGGGGCCTTTTGGTCAGATATCTTTAAGCGCGTCATGTGTGTGTAACGGCTTGGTTTGCTGATGTCCTCCATCAGCAGTGCTCCAGAACCCAGATGGTTTTGGTCGAGGAAGTTCGTCTGATGCTTGGGCTAGGGTGTTGTGTCCCTATCATGCGATACAACGCTGGGATGCACCCTCCCCAAGACTTTCTTTTATGCCGCTATACCCGCCAATGCCTGCTGTTGGTGGAGTGGTACTCGTCTTACCAAATGTTCTCGGGACGGGAGGATGGGGAGGGACAGGCAAACACGGGCGGTTTTCAACTCCCATTTTACTTTGTTGATGTGTTTTCTTCAACCATGCCTCGTCGGTTGTCAATTGTGTCGATCGTGATGTTCGCTCTGCGCGATTGAGTTCACATGGTAGGTAGGGTGTTGACGCTGCTGTTGTTTTGTCGATATCTTTTGACAGCGGACAGACAAACAGACAGTGGGCAATTCCCCGCACCTCACCGGACGCCGGTCCGCAGACAGCCCCCCCATCCGCGAAGATGGTTCTTGATCGGCGAATGCGCCGGCTCCTGCTTGTCACTGTCGCGTTTTTCTTTTTTTTCTTCTTGTTGAAGCCGCCGTCTGCGCGACGATCGTTTTACAGGCCTGTTCCCGACGACTTACCACCACCATCACCACCATCACCACCATCACCACCACACTCCCAAACCTCACCACATCCTCCCCACCAAGACCCCCCTTCCCGATCACCCGCCAAACCCGTCAAAGAACCATTACGTCCCCTCCATCCAGTCCAGTTCTTTTTTCCACCAGGCTACCGCCCAAATAACATCTCCCTCTCCCGCCGCGCCGCCGTCAAGTCCGCCTTCCTAAAGTCATGGACGGCTTACAAACTCCATGCTTATCCCTCAGACGAACTCGCTCCTGTGTCAGGGAGAGGAAAAACGACGTTGGGCTGGGCGGGGACGTTGGTTGATAGTTTGGATGTGTTGTGGGTCATGGATTTGAGGGAGGAGTTTTATGATGCTGTGGAGGAGGTTTGCAAGATTGATTTCGCGGGGGGGAAGGGGGGGGTGGATATGGGGAGGTATCTGGGGGGGTTGGTTGCTGGGTATGATTTGTCGGGGGAGTGGGGGTTGTTGGAGAGGGCGGGGGAGTTGGGGGGGTTGTTGATGGAAAAGGGGAAGGGGCGAGAGGGAATGAGGACGGGGGCTTGGTTGGAGTTTACACGGTTGGGACAGCTGATCGGTGATAAAAAGTATTGTGATGCTGTGAGGGGGGAGGTGGATGTTTTGGAGGAGGGGCAGGAGAGGACGAAGCTGAGGGGGTTGTGGCCTGTGAAAGGGGCTGAAGGTGATGAGGTTTTTGGCCTGGGGAAGGGGGCGGAGGGCGTTTATGGCAATCTACTCAAGACGGCGGCTTTGCTCGGAAGGGGGAGAGAGGGGAGGTTGGAGAGGATGTGGAAAGAAGCCATGGGGGTGGCGGAGGATTGGTTGCTCTTCCGGCCCATGCTCGCGGAGGAGGATAGGGATGAGATGGGGGATAGGAGGGATGTACTGTTGGTTGGTGAGGCGAGGATGAACGGGGATGAAGTAGAAACGGCGCCAAAGGTTCAGCATTTGGGTTGCTATGCGGGGGGGATGTTTGGGCTGGGAGGGAAGCTGTTTGGGAACGAGGAATATATCAAGATTGGGGAGCAGCTCACCCGGGGTTGTGCGTGGGCTTACGGGGCGTTTCCCACGGGTTTGATGCCAGAGGTACTCGAGGCGGTTCCTTGCGAGGGCGACTGGAGGGACGGGCCGTGCAAGTTTGATGAGGACAAGTGGCGGAAAGAGGGCAGCAGGAAGCTGAGGAAGCCGTTCAAGTCGGTGAAAGACCCAAAGTACCTACTCAGACCGGAGGCTATCGAGAGCTTGTTCGTCATGTTCAGAATTACGGGAAACAAGGAGTACCAGGAGCTGGCATGGGAGATGTTCCAGAGCGTGGTCGGGGCTACCGAGACGGAGCTGGCGTTTTCTGCCATCAGCGATGTCACTGTTCATGGCCTACTGAAGAAGCTGGATTCGATGGAGGTAAGCGCCACTCAATCTCAAGGCTTGCCACTGATTACTGACATATCCTGATCATGTTCAGAGCTTCTGGCTAGCCGAAACACTCAAGTACTACTACCTCATCTTCTCACCACCAGACCTCATCAGCCTGGACGAATGGGTCCTCAGCCCAGGAGCACATCCCTTCCGCCGAGACAGCAGTGGGTTCATCACCCGAGGCTTCGACGAACCCCCACGCCCAAAAAAGAAGAAGAAAAAGAAACCAGGAGTACCATGAATACCAACGTGGTGTACAGGGAACTATTACAACAATAAATCTTCAGAATCCACGGGCAGGCCCGTCGACATGGATGGGTTGAGATATTTGCTGGGAGTGGACCTGAGTTCTTTTTTCACGCGAAGCCCAGCAGGAAGGGTGTCCCTGGATACACGAAGGACGTCCATTACGGAGGGTTCGGGTCCGGCTTACCTTGGCTGTGCCATATAGCCGGACTTGAGGAAGTTGCTGGACGGCCTCTCTCACTGTGTCCAATACTAGGTACATAATTCGAGCGTTGGACAACCCGAAAGACTGGCAACGGAGATGATGACAGACGCGTGGAACAAATTTCCAATGACAAAAACACAATGAGAAGGCGCATTTACGGAGTTTCGTTGGGAGTTCAAATGGATTGCGGGTCTGAGAATGAATCTTGGAAGAGGAGAGGATTGGGCTTGGTTCAAAGCTCCGGATACCCTTGGGTTTGTGGTTTCTTTTTGGCACTGGATGACCTAGGCGCTTGGGCGGGATAGGCAATGTACGGTAGTTGTACGGGTAGACCAAGATGGCAGCTGGTGGTCAAGAACACTGCCAATCAGAGATAAAGAGTTTCATATTCCTGCTTCACCGGCAGTCTCCAAGGCTGGTTGGTTGAAGAAGTCCCGTCGAGAACATGCGAACGAGACATACCATTGTCTACCCTAACCCTGGGCCAATCAAGTCTCTGCGATGGCTAAAAATTCCACTTTGAGCTCGACGCTGCTAACCACTGCAGTTCACTTCACGACTCACACCTCACCCCGTCTCACACACGAACTCACACAGACACTTTCTCACTATGCATTACATAAAACTACTGCGACCACCAGTGGTCGAGTTCGTCAGATCAGAACGATGCCTCCGATTAGTACTCGCCGTCACCACCGACCTCGGGGACTCGTTCTTCTCACCCAAAGACCCAGTTGAGCTCCTTGTGGTCGGCGCTTACACGACGACAAAAGATGGAAAAGAGCAACTGGTACCAGTTATCCTCACACAACGAAATACGCCAAAATGGAAGGCTGGGATGAGAGTTCTCAAACTGGATCTTCCACTGCCTCCACACCCCATCAAAACGATCCAGATCCGGCCGGCAGACCGCCAACTTACAGCTCTTGGAACGACAGACATCTACCCACCAACGGGCCAGGGACTCATTCTAGCGGCATTCTCTGATATCTCGCTGGACAGGAACACAGCAGTACCTCCTGTGTGCTTTCGGAGTTTGAGGCTGCCAACAGCCGATAACCAGACGCTCCAAGTGGAGGAGGATATGGGGGATAGCATAGCCCGGCACATCTGGGACTCTGGGATTGCCACTGTGTCTCTCCTGGCCGACATGTTTCTGAGCACCAGCCCGAAGGGAAACCCAATGCCCGCCTTGAAGCAGCTCCTTCAACAAGATCGGGACAAGCCACTGAACATCCTCGAAGTTGGCTGCGGCATCGGGACACTAGGCATAGGGGTGGCCCGGCTGCTTGCTTTGAAGAAGGCTCCCAGACAGACGACAACTCGTATCCTCATGACTGATCTCCCCGAGGCTGAAGAACGAGCCAGAGCGAATATCGCCCGGCAAGCGGAAGCTCTCAGCCAAGCACCAGCACCCTCGCTAGACTTTGAGAGCCTCGACTGGATAGACGGGCAGAATGGCGTGTTTGGAGCGCAGGTCCAGGATAATACTTGGGATCTGATTGTCGTGAGTGACTGCACCTACAACACGGATACTTTGTCACCGTTGGTGCAGACGCTTTCGGCTCTTCATGGCCATTCCGGCGAGCAGTCGGTCAGGCCAAAGGTCTTTTTGTCGACAAAGTCAAGACACTCGTCCGAGAGAGAGTTCTGGGATCTGATGGCTGCTGATGGGTGGAGTATTGAGGAGGAGGCTACACTGCCGCTTCCTCATATTGATGGGGGTGGGAATCCTGTTGAGTTGTATCTCTTTGAGAAGAAATGAAGAGATGTTGAGTCTTCTGTCCTCGCGGTTGTATCCTGCCAGTCCAAGCCCATCATGTCACAAAGGGCAGCACCCCGATGACTTCAATAAGGCAGATGTAGGTCCGACCACAGCTTGCGGTACCTGCATCAACCGTCCTGGTGGATGACCCCATGTGTGACCACACTGACCAAGAACATCGTGACATCCCAACTCAACAAACAATGGACCTCCCTGTCACCAAAATACTTGTCGCCTGACAAATCTCCAGATCTTCCCCCCGAGTCATCCCATCTTGTAGCACACCTTTCCACCAATGGCATCATCTCAAAATAGAATATCGAAGCGGATCTTCAAGATGGACAGTTCTCGGCCCATCTCGACCGTTGGAAAGCCGTTGCAGATTGCCCAGCGATGTGAAATACCTCTTCTCTGATTGGTCGACAGGAGGTGTAAGCAGCCAATCAGCCTCCGGTCAATGACCCAATCAGGCGGTTTCCTGACCAAGCCTCGCCCCGCAGGTCTCAGCTTGCGGGACAGCCTTACGGACCAACTGCCAGTTGATGTCAGGTCGGCAGTTGGATACTGAACTTGTATAAGAGAGGCGGTTTCCTTTGATCGTCTTCCATTCAATATCACACATCACACAATTAACAGTCGGCAACTTATTTGAACTATAGTTCTCACCAACCAAGTACTCTTCTCTCAACAACAACCACCATCACCACACTACTTACACCACCACAAAAATGACCGCCCCAACAACCTGCTGCCGCTCCTCCAACAACAACGCCTCCTCGGCCGAGTGCGTCTGCGCCAAGCAAGCGACCTGCTCCTGCGGGAAGCAATCCGCCCTCCACTGCTCCTGCTCCGCCGCCGCGACGGAGAACACGGTCGCCGGACCGAGATGCAGCTGCCGTGCTAGACCCGCGGGCCAGTGCACCTGCGAGCGTGCCGCTTCGGAGAATGTGACGCCTGAGAAGGCTTGTGCTTGTGGTTCAAGACCTGCTGGTAAGTTTTGGATGAGAGAGAGAGAGAGAGAGAGAGAGATGGGGAAAATGGATTGTGGCTAACGAGAGGAATAGATGCTTGCACTTGTGAGAAGGCTGCTGATGGGGGGTTCAACCCGGAGAATGAGATTGATTTTACTACCAAGAAATAAGTTTACTGAACTTGTCTCTATGGGAAAGTCTTTCTGGGTTGGGGTCTGAGGAACAGCATTGCATGGCGTTTGGGGGTTTGTTATGGGAATTTGACATGACCGGGACAACATCTCGACAGAGGCCGGGACGGACAGGACGGAAGGGGCATGGAAGGGTTATGAAGACCTGGTTGTCTGAACTGGGCCATCAAACTGGGTTGGGGTAAAAAGAGGAATAGGGATATGTTAATAAAAAAAGTTTATCGACGATTCGACTTTGACAGGAATCGTGGACCTTTGCTCGGATGCGCTGAGTGTGGGGAAGCTGGTGGCTGTCTTTGAAGACAGGTCCTGTTGCTGACCAGTTAGGCGTTATCAAGAGCCTTCGCAACTGTCCTTGACAGTATCAGGTTTCAGAGTCTTTGTCGAACTCCCCAATTCTTGATTTGATGCTCACAGCTGCCAACTTGGTCCCTACTGCAAAGCAAGAACACGTGGGGTTACAGAGAGGGGTAGTAGGGTTGTTTGTCGGGCCATTGATAAGAAAATCATGATGCTATCGAGAGAAAGAAATCGAGTGGCGGGTGAGTTCTGCAATGCAGGCCATCAGATCGGGAAGAGTGTTTGCAACGTGTCAGCTTCAGCGGCGCACCGGGCAGCGTGATGCCAGCCTTCAGGTGCTGATGCATAGCCGTATTGCTATCAGATCTGGTGATATCTTGGAGTTGATCATCAGATGAGGGGACTCCTCTCCTCACCCTGGCAACTGATGTCGTCGCGAACTGGCGCGCAAAGGAAATCACCGAAGCAAGGGAAGCTCGCCTCTGACCGCCCGGCAGAATCTCCCCAAAGTTCTTCAGGGGGCCGGCGCCACTGTTGCATTGGCTGACAGGGGTTCAATAAGAATTCGCACGGAGCACGTCCCTTATGAGCTCATCGAATTGGAAAGGTCGAGCTGCTGGCAGAGTCAACAAAAGCGACGACAGCAGCAAGGGAAATAAAAGTGCCAATTGTATAATGGTATTGTTGGCAAGGTTACAATTGATCTCGATGGAGCAGTAGAGTAGGCAAACACGATCAATAAGGGCACAATTGAAGAATAATAGGGCGCACCATATTGCGGGCCCCATTGTGGAAGACCAACCCCCCCGGCAAAAACAAGAAAAATAGCGGGAACCCATCCAACCCGAGCCCAAAAAAGTCGTGCGCGCGCCGGCCCAAAATTCCTCCCTCGAACCCTTAACCCTCTCGCACCTCGACACCCCGATCCATCGACTGTCAACAAAGACACCAAAAACAAGGTTGCGACTCTACCACCATCTTGTCCCTGTTGAGCCTCACAAGCACCATCTTTGCCCTCTCCACGTCTTTCTCACAGCCCTCTTTACCTCTCCCTCACAAAGCGCCTACTCAGGACATCACAGACCATCGCGTCAACAACACGAGCCATGCCTCCCAAAAGAGCTGCCGCGACAGCCGCGAGCGCTGCGACCAAAAAGACGGCGGTCGCTACCACCACCACCAAGAAGACCACTGCCACGACGGCTACTAAGAAGACTACTACTGCTGCGGCGACCAAGAAGACTGTCGCTACCACCAAGAAGGCTGCTGCCGCGCCCAAGAAGGCCGCCGCTGCTCCCAAGAAGGCCGCACCCAAGAAGGCCGCGCCCAAGAAGAAGACTGTCGCTGAGGTTGCCCCCGAGTCTGATAAGGAAAACACGGAGGAGCCTGAGAAGAAGGTCGTTACCACCAAGAGAAAACGCACCCAGGATGACGAGGAGCAAGCCCCAGTCGCGTCAAGTTCCGAGGACGAGATTGCCCAGGAGCCTGTCGACGCGCAGGCGCAACCGGCCAAGAAGAGGAAGGTCGCCGCTCCTAAAGCTCCCGCTGCGAAGCGCCCTGCCCGCGTCCTGAAGGCCATCAACGAGAAGCCCGAGCGTGTTCTCGACATGTTTGTGTTTGGCGAGGGCACCGCTGGCGAGCTCGGTCTTGGCAGCGTCAAGGTGGACGGCAAGAAGCCCATCGATGTCAAGCGTCCCCGCCTGAACCCCAATGTCTCCAATGTTGTTCAGATTGCTTGCGGTGGCATGCACGTTGCTGCTCTTACCAAGGACAACAAGATCTTCACCTGGGGTGTCAACGACCAGGGCGCTCTCGGACGCGACACCACGTGGGATGGTGGGCTCAGAGATGTTGAGGATGAGGACGATGACAGTGATGACGAGGACGACACTGGCATGAACCCCAAGGAGAGCACTCCTGCCGAGATTGACACGAGCGGCCTCCCCGAGGGTATTGAGTGGGTTCAGGTTGTTGCCAGCGACAGCGCGACTTTTGCGCTCACCACCACTGGCCAGGTCTATGGATGGGGTACATTCAGGGTAAGACACAACAACTCTCTGTACGACGCGATCTTGTTCTAACATTTGCCTCCAGAGCAACGAGGGTGTACTGGGCTTCAGTCGTAGTGTTGGCATTCAGAGGACCCCAGCCCACGTCCCCGAGCTGTCCAAGATCAAGCAGCTTGCTGCCGGTCTCAACCACATCCTCGCCCTCGACGAGAAGAATAAGATCTACGCCTGGGGCGCCGGCCAACAAGCCCAGCTTGCTCGCCGTCTCCTCGAGCGCGACGACACCGCTGCCCTCTACCCTGCCGGCGTTGGTTCTCTCCCCGGCCGCGCCAAGGCCGTCAAGCTTGCCTGCGGTTCTTACCACTGCTTCGTCATTGACACCAAGGGCCGTGTCATCAGCTGGGGTCTCAACAACTACGCCGAGTGCGGCCACGAGGACTCTGTCGGCGTCGACGGCGGCTACGTCATGCGTCCCCAGATTGTCGAGTCGCTCAGCGGTTACGAGATTGCCGACATTGCCGGCGGTGAGCACCACTCTTTGGCATGCACCACCGATGGCAAGCTCCTCACCTGGGGCCGGATTGATGGCCACCAGGTCGGTCAGCCAACCGGTTCGTTCACCGAGGACAATACTATTTATGACGACCGCCAAAAGCCAAGAATCCTCGTCGTCCCTACCGAAATCCCCGAGGTCAAGGATGTTGTCCAGGTCGCCGCTGGCACCGACCACAGCTTTGCTGTCACCAAGGATGGCAAGGTTTACAGCTGGGGTTTCTCGGCCAACTACCAGACTGGCCAGGGGACTACGGATGATATCGAGTCGCCAACACTTATTGACAACACCGCCATCAGGGACAGGAAGATCGTCTTTGCTGGTGCGGGCGGGCAGTACGGTATTGTTGCTGCCGAGAAGGAGGAGGCTCAGAATTAGGAGGCTTCTGATGAGGATGAGGAGACTGCCCCTGAGGATGAGGGTGTTAGTCCTCCTCTTCCTGAAGATGAGGGTGCTACTGCTTCTGATGAAGAAGCTGAAGGGGGTTGCTCCTGATGAGAGTCCTTCTGATGATGACGATGAGGGGCAGTGTTTCTTCTGGAGGGTCAGGATCAAGAAAGAGGAAGAGAGACAGCGACTCGGAGGATGAGGAGGATAGTGCCCGTCCACGACCACGAAAGAAAAGAGCGAGGGATGTGCTGCGCTCGTAGGACGATTCGGAGGATGAGGTTGCGAGGGATGAATTGACGAATTGAGGAGACTACCGTGAGCTAGGAAGAGGTTGAGAATTCTCGAGATTTGTGGACGAGATTTGAAGGGGCATGTCGTCTTTGTCTGTAACGGTCCAATGGATCATGACGGCCTGTTGTGTGGTCAGCGAGGAGAAGAAGGGGGGAGGGGGTTGTTTGTTCAATATATTAGGGGTGTTTTTTTCTTTCCTCGGGCTGCGTTTCCATCACGGCACGGGGGATTCTTCATACATGGTGTTTTCGGTTGGCGGTGGGGAGGGGGCACATGGGTTTGTTTCACATGGGTCGGGCTCGTGGTATTTGACGTTTTCACTTTTTTCCGCTCTCGGGTCTCGTGCTACAAAGCATAGAATATAATGGTGGAACAAGAAAAGGGGGGGGGGTCGTGGCAGGATAACTACCACACAGACTTGCGGACTGGACATGAAAGCATTTGCATTAGCGGAATCAAATCAAAAGAGAGAGCCTGAATAAAAACTTCAAAAGCGGGAACGTGTTTTTATAATATATATGTTCTGTTTTTCACACTGTGGCGTTTGGTTTGGGAGGTACTCTGATTGAGGACATTCAGATAACAGGTGATGGGGCGCGTTGTGTTGCTTCTGTAGATGGAGAAAGGACTTGGGATGACGAATGAAGATCTAACCAATATGCAAACCCATGACCTCTTGACCATAGTTCAACGTGATCGAAAGCAGCACAACTAGCAGCTGGACGTGTCAACTTGGCCGTTATTCTACCATCAACACAGCGCTCTCATCCCATCTGATATTCAATATCATCTGTCATTATACTAATACACCACAATAAACCCCTCCCCCCAACTCCATCACACCGCCCCCATTTTTGGCAATAATCATAATAATATCAACATAATCACCGCGCTATATTCCTTCCCACTCCCCAGCCTCTTCCCCATCTCACCAAATTCAACCCTGTATCCTACCCCGTCTTCCCTTCCTACGCCTTCCCTGCCTTCCCCCCCCTGCTACTAAAAACGCCCATGATCCCAAACCCGACATAAAACAACGCCAACGGATACGCCACCAAAAACCTCTGCCTGTTCATCCCCCCCACCGAGCAAAAGATTCCACTGGCGGCATAACTGCTCCATAACACCGCCAAGGTAGTCAAGAAAATCCCGAGCGGTGTCGCCATGGGCATGACGATTCCGACTAGGGAGGTGGCTACCAGTGGGAGGAGACAGTACCCCAGTACCGAGGCGGATCGGGCAAACGTCAATGTGGTCGTGGCACCGGATTGGGACTGGGAGTGGTGGTGGACGGGCACGCCGGGGTAGGATGATTGACCGGGGGCGGAGGGAACGGCGGTGGAGGGGTCGACGGGGGGTGCCATGAGGGAGAGGATTGTGTGGAGGGATACTGAGCCGAGGACGGCGAGGCCGTAGATGAAGCCGAAGTGGACGGAGCCGGAGAGCATGAGGAAGGTTCCGAACTGGGAGAAACAGGTTAGAAAAGGATGGGGGGGTGAAAGGGAGGGGGGGACGTACAAGGAAGAAGAAGAGGACGGGACCGGCGAGGTCGGAGTCGTCCATTAGGTGTTGGTCTACGCGGGAGAAGGGGTTTAGGACGGCGAAGGTCTGGGGAGTAAATATGTTAGTTTGATCATGCCTGAGAGATGGTGAGTTGTGGGCTGCTGACCTTGCGCTGGATCTTTGTGAATGATACCCCCAACTCCTCCAACAAGGGCGGCTCCCCGTCGTACCCCTCTGTTGAAAAGGCGGCGAGCCAGCCTGTTCTTAGCCCACCTTGCTCGTCCATGCGGCCTGATACTCCTGGGGCGCCGGCGAAGCCAGAGGTGAAGCTGCTGCCGAAGCCGCCGGAGGAGGGACCGCCATAGCCGTAGGATGCTTGTGATGGGGTCGCGTGGCCAGATACTGGTTGTGCGTAGTTGGACTGGTAGAACTGGAGGCCGGGGTTTGGCTGGGCGGGGCCGCCGCCGTAGTAATTTGACATTTTTGGGGGCTTCGAGTGTTCGCGATGTGGTGATCTGGTGTCCCTGTTCGTATGTCGTGTTCAGGGGATCGTTGACGGGGGAGCTGTATGCATGCAAGTTACTCGGTCGTGGAGATCACTCGAGGTTGTCGAGTTGGATGCTGATTGTCGACTCGTTAGTCTTTGAAGCTCTCGGTATCGCTCGTGATGTGTCAGTAAAGAGCGTGGTGGTGGACAATTGCGTGGACAATGACCAGGATTGTTAACCGACAAAGTTGCGATGTTGCATCTTTCAGATGTCAAGCTCCCTGCGCCAGCACTGGCCAGGCGGCGTCACCAAGCCGCTTGGCGGGACGGGCCAAGCGTGAAGGGTGCCAAGACGGGCTGTTGCCAACTGTTGGCTACGATTTAAACAGCTGTCACAACAGCTTGCCGGCAATCGGCGGCGCGGCATCTCGAAGGCGGACAATTTTTCGAAGCATGGGTTCGGTCATGTTTGCTACCGCTTCTGTGAATTTCCACACCACTACCACCACCACCACCACCACCACCACCCACTGCCGCAGACGACCACACAATCTCACCGCCACCTTCCCTCCTCCCTCACTCTCACCCAACACAAGGAAGGCTTGCAAGGTCGCCGACGCCTGCTTGCAGTTCAAAATGGTAAGCATCGGCATACCTTGTTCTCACCACCCTTGCAACTAACCAACACCCCGCCCAGGCCTACCGCCTCATAACCCAAGTCGTCCTCATCGGCACCCGCGTTCTCGGCCGCTCCTTCGCCGAAGCCTACAAGCAAGCCGCCGCCTCCTCGGCCTACCAACGCGCCCAGGCCCAGTCCGGCAATGGCACCGCCGGCCGCGCCAGCCTCAGCAGCGGCATGACCCTCGACGAAGCCTGCAAGATCCTCAACGTCAAGCCACCACAAAAGGGGGAAGCCAATATGGAGGAGGTCATGGAGCGATTCAAGCGCTTGTTTGACAACAACGACCCCAAAAAGGGCGGTTCATTCTACCTGCAGAGCAAGATCCTGCGCGCGAGGGAAAGGATCGAGGCCGAGGTGCGCCCACATATGGAGAAGGCGGAGCAAGAGGCCGAGGTAAAAGAGGGGTGGAATCCAAAGCTGTACAAGGATAAGAAATAAGACGTTTTCTTTCTCCAGGGGGAACGACATATCGAGCGAATGGGTGACAGGTTGGGCCAAGACGACTGACAACGACTGCTCGAAAGACAGTATCGAAAGACGACACTTGCACCACAGCCTGGCCATCTACCGCATTGTACACAACATCTTCACTCGACTTTTGTTTTTTTAAAAATGGGACAGGCAGGCGGGCGTGCATGCGGCGGGCAGGCCAGGCGTTATGAGGGATATTTTTGGGTAGAATTTGGGCGGCGAGGAGCATTTCATCAGCTATGCATTGGGTTAGAACTGCCACGGCCCCGCCTTGTGTTTTTAATACTGTACATTATGTAGGTAGCGGGCATGGTGATGAGCTACGAACTGGAGGGGCGCATCTTTGGACGAGGTCTAGTGGACGGCTTTTTGTGGTGGGGAGGGAAAAGCAAATCCAAATCAGGTTCACAAACTCGGTTCGATTTATAATGTGGTTTTATTGCAGAGAATGAGTTTGGGAGTTCTAGAAGCTTGCTGACATCATGCAATAGTCTGGTCGTGTTGGCGTTGGTACCCTTCCGGGGACTCGGGACCTTGTCTGATCTTCGTCGATCACGCAGCCGCTCAGCATCACGGCTTGAGAACTATCAGCACAAGTACTTGCAGTTCCCGGCCATAGCAACGGTATTAAACTGTGCCTGACAACAAAGTTAACTTGGAGTAGACCTTTTGCTCGGCTAGGTCCGTTGTCTCGACATCGTCATTGTCGGCAAGGTGACTGGCGGCATATTGGCTCAGGAAAAGCTCAACAATTGGAAGTGCTCAAAATCGAGCACGAGAAAGGCGCTCTTAGTGCTATCTCACCCGTGTGACTCGGACGGCGTGTGTCATGCCAGTGATGCCCTCATTGAGCGTGAACCGAGATAAACGTATCCTCGCTCGCCAAGGAACTCAGGGCAGTAGCTTTCTCGAAAACTTGGAGATCCCGTGGACAAACTTTGCTCTTTTTATTTACTGTCCAACAAGAAGACAAAACACACCGACAAGCCGCTTTCTGACCTCGACAGGGATCAGGAAGTATACGATCGGATCCGATGCACCCGGCCCCCCGCATGAACCGCAACACCTGCAGCTGCGAGATCTGACCGCATGTCATCTCATCACCATCGCTATATGCCGGCACCCGCCGGTCAAGAGCGCTCAGACGACAGCTCCACTCCAAGATGACATCCACACAAGTGGTTCACTTGCAAACCTGCAAGAGAATGCACAAACATTGAAGATGCATATACGGCCAGCAGATGGCCTGGGATCATGACAGCTCCTATCAACGTCGCGATGTCACCAGTCGCAGCTTCTCGATATTCAGTCTGTCAGGGCGAAGATATCGACACCAGTGACAGGCCTGGGCTGTCACCTGTGCATAGCAATAGATCGGATGTCTAGGTCAACCACCCCTGGCCATCCCATCTATCGACCAGCACCCTTGATCTCATTCATACAGCAGCGGCTCGAACCCCAGCATTAATAGGCTTTCCCGTTCATCAAGCTTCCAGAAGCTTTCGAGGCTTCGGATGCCGGTCAGAACCTGACCACAAGAAGGCTGGTTCAGTGCCATCCAAGGCTCCCACTGGCTGCTCCGACCACGAATCTGTGGTACCAGATCACTGTGGCTCCGCGATCGCCCTCACACATCATGCCTTGGCTACCCAGCTTCAGTTGCACGTCGTTCTTGAGCTTCGGTCGACAGCTTGGCGTCATTTCGGATCAAGGAAGCAGTCTCTTCCCATCTTTTTCTATCGTTCTAAGATCGACACCTGATGCGGAGTGCAGAGTGCAAGGCACCATCACGACGGTTCCGCTACCGTGGGAAACACCTATCCTCCACGCCATATCCGCCACATTCCCCGGAATGTTCCTATTTTCTCTTTCGCCCTATCTCATCAAGTCGATCTATTTCGTTCTCCCCACACGAGGCTTGATGTCTGTTCATTGCGTTTCTTTCTGACCACAGTCGATATTTATCCAGGCCGGCACTGACCAGCAAGGCTTCCACTCTTTTTCATTTCCTTCTAGCTTCTAGGAGCTTCACCTCTTCAGCACAAGGTACTCGGGCCCATAATGCCATATGTTGATGTTGAAAACCTTGGGCAGCCTCGTCCTGGGACTCACAACTGCGGCGCTTGGGAATACTCAACGGCTCTCAGGTCCCTCATCTGAGCTAGTTCTTGGTGATATACGAATAAAAGCACACAATTTGGTAGATGGCGAGACAAAGCATCAAAGAGCTATGGGGAGAATTGGGCAATTGGGAGACAGTTACACGAGGCCAACGGATATTTCTAGGTCCCTCAGCGAGAAAACTACAGAATCTTCATCAAGACGACCAAGGAGAAGGAGACAAAACACAAAAGATACAACAGGTGATGCCGATTCGACACGGGCTGTGTGTCAAGGCAAAAATGGCACAACAATCGACTGCCTGGAAGAGATTGGATGCTGCATGTTGCCGACTGGAGAAGCAGCATGCTGTTCAGCGGCCGGTGTCACATGTGACGAGAGTGACTGTGTTCAGACAACTGCTTCGATGTAAGTTACTTCCCACAACTAATATCCAGGCTGGCAATTGAAGACTAACAACGACAGCAGACCGCTGCCGGCAGCATCCAGTTTGGCCATTATCACCGTCACACAAACCATCACCAGCACGGTCACCTCCTTTGCAGAGACCAGACTTGCTATTATTACCAGCACCCAGCTGCTCACTTTTATTAATCCAACACAGCGTACATCTACTTCGACGGTTACTGTAACGTCTTTCGTAAGGAGGGCAAAACGAACCTTTGGAAGCCCTGTTGAGATTACGCCGGTTCAAACGCCTCCTGTCCTGGCGCCCACTAGCAGCCCGGAACCCCGTACAACCCCAATACCGAGCAAAGAGTATATGGGAGTCAGAGCTGCGGTCGGGAAACGGCAAGAGGCAACGCTCACTTCCACGGTCGTGATCAGAACGACGGTCTTTGTTCCTGGTGTCACGACAAGAACACTTACCAATATCGTTTTCTCAACCACGCTGGCGGCTCCTAACGCAGCTACCACAGTCTTCGTCACCACAACCGTCTTTAGACCTTTGTCCTCGAGCACAACTACCGTACCGGAGGCTACAGTACCGATGGACCAGTCCCCAATAGAACCCACACCCTCCTCATCGACCGGTTCCGAGTCAGCTACTTCTCTCACACCAACAGACTCAACAGAGACCACAAACCCAACAGAACCCACGGAACCACTCCCCACCGATTCTCCGGCTCTAAGTTCAGCCACCCCCTCTTCCCCGGCGCCAACCACTTTGGCATCTTTTACTGATGTCACCACCACCACCACCATCACAACCTTCCCGTCATCAGAAACCACCACCACTTCCGTGATGGAACCAACAGGAATGGAAACAATGTCCCTCTCCCCAACTCCCACAGCGGGCCCCAACACCCCCCTCACACCCCAACAACCAACCCTCACCCCCGCCCAAATAGCCGCTCTAGTCCTAGGCATCATCCTCGCCCTCTTGCTATTCATAGCCCTCGCGTTCATCCTCCGCCGTCTGGTCATCAAAAGAAGACAAGCCCAAGCAAAGATCCGGCAGCATCTCTCCCCATCCCCTCCGCCCCTCATGTCTGGCGGGGGGCCCTCAGCACCAGCACCCACAGTCCCAACCGGCCCCTCCTCCAACAGCTCCTACAGCGGGTTGACAGGCGAAGGGGAAGTCAGAATCGTCATCCGCCCCGCACCCAAAAGAAGAACGCAATCGAGTGGGATTGGGTATGGGCAGGGGATGGTGTGGCCTTTGCCGCCTGAAAGATTGTCCGCTCAGTCGGGGGAAGGGGGGGGGGAGTATTCTATTTTTGTGGATTCCCCTTCGGAAAGGGGAAGGGAGAAGGAGAGGGAGTGGAGTATTGCTTCTGAGAGGGGGAGTTTGGGGGATGATAATGGGCAGCAAAGGGGGGAGAGTATGTTGAGTGGGGCTGCTAGTTCGGGGTATGGGTATGGGTATGGGTATGGGGGGTATGGGAGTGTGAGGGGGGAGTCGTACCCTGGGTTGGGGACGCTGTTGACGCCGCCGCCGCCGCCGTTGAGGTTGGCGGAGAGGAGGGAGATGGAATTGGAGAGGGAGCGGGAGGTTAGGGGGTTTAGGACGGGTTTGTTGAGGGGGGCGGGATACGGATGAGAGCGCGGGGGAGGGGGGTAGTGGGAAGGGGAAGAGACCTGTGACGAGGGGGACGGAGGATAGTGGGTTTAGGGGGGATGAGAGTGGGAATGGGGGGAGTAGCAATGATAGTCCTGAGTCGAAGAAGAGTGGGCAGAGTGGAAATGGAGGAGGCCGAGGGGGCACGCTGGGGAAGAAGGGAAGCTTTGGGGTGGGAAAGGCTTGGTGACGGTTGTACGGCCCTGCTGGGGGGTAGTAGGGCCAGTGTTGGAAGAGAATTGGGCGGGTTTAGGGGGTCCAGCTGGCTGTTGACTGAACCTGCTGGTACGGGGGGGCTGATGGTTGTCATGGAGCTACATAAATACCCAGGAAAAGTGGCTTCTGGGGAAAGGAAGCAGGTACGAAATGGAAGCATTGTTGGATAATTCTGGGCTGGAGAAATAATGGAACATCAACTTGGAGAGAACAGCTCCAAGGTCAGGGGTCTGGAGTGTGTATAGAAAGTGGTGCAGCTGTGTGCTCAGGTGCGCAAATAGATACCCCTCATACCCTGGTGGAAGAGATGAAGAAGACGAGCGTTTAGATGCCGTTGGTTATGGAAAGCAGTGCAGATTTTCTGCTTCGAGCAAAAGAAGTGTATCATCCGGGTGCATAGTCCCAACATAACTCCCATCTCCGGCACCCATTTCAACCAAGTTCAAAGGCGTGGTGGCGGAGTGGTCTAACGCGCAAGACTAGAAATCTTGTTCCTTCGGGAGCGTCTGTTCGAATCAGGCCCACGTCGAGTGACATTCTATTTTTGTCTCGTTTGGTTGTGTGGTGGAGTGAGGTTTTTTTTTTTATCGCTCATGATAGTGTCAGAATAGTCAATGAGGCCCACTATTAAGGAATTAATATCTTTGCAGTAGGATCTGAGCTGCCTGGTCGGTTTTATAGAGGCACCTGGGCAACTCTCCCACGTATAATACCATAATTGACACTTCTGACGACCCCATTACCTGATTTGATAGATGGCAGGGGCTGAGATAACGGTGATAACACCATCGCTATCCGTACCTAGCTCGCTTCACTCATATCTTGAACAGCGGTTTTGTAACAGTAGAGTTTGTTGGTATTTCTGGATTCGACAGCGTATCTCTCATTGCACCGAAGCATCTAGCTCTTTGTCTGTTGTCAGGATGTAGTAATAGATAACTCCTCCTGTACCACTCAGGGGCGAGGACATGGAACGGACAAAAGCAAGGGTTAGGGTCCTGGGCTACTCCGGTTAGCTGCGGGGTTTGGCGATCTCCGTTGCATGCTGCACGTCTGCCCCTCCCCCGCGATCAAGACCCAACCCCGCCCTCCATGATCTTGAAGTTTTATTACTCGCCAAACGCGTCTATTCCTTGCCGAACTTGATCAGAATCAGGACTTTTTCGATCAGAAATTAAAGCGAAGGGTTCGTTTTATTTGACGTAATAAATCTCCTGACTGGGCAGCAAAATCAATCCAGGTGTAGGGAGATGGAGTGTTTGACAGGGTAACCTCACGACGTCATGCAGCAAGCGCCGGACGAACTGTTGCATGCCCAGAAGAGCCGTTAAGAGATGCCCAGTGTTTGCCATCAGCTGAGCAGTTATGGTGGCTTCGAAGTTGGGCTCTGAGCGAGGTGCTGGGCAGCAGTAGAAGAAGTACGATTTTGTGAGCTTGGGGTGAGGCGCCTGAACTTTCCTACCTACCTTGCTGCGGGACACTGCATGCAGTTCGTGGTTCATGAATCTAAATTTCTGGCAAGTTCCCGCTGAGCACGGCATATCACATCGGCCCTCGATCCGGTCAGTCTGCAATATCATCGGCCATCAGCTGCAACGTGAGAATGAGACAAGTGCTGCCGGCACCCGTTGAGAACTCTCTCGGTGCTCGGTCTGCTGGTGAATCCGGCAACAAAAGGAGTGAAGGCCGAGTAATTATTAGGAGGCAGGTCAGCATCGTAACCGAGACATCCGCCAGAAGCGGTAAAGAGGCAACATATTATCATCTTTCTGTGGAGGTCAACCCCAAAGAGGACAGCACCGTGTGTGAAAAACAGTACGCTGCCATACATTCACGATGGGGGAATACTTTCCTTTTCTCCAACCAGAGTACGGAGTTGGACGTCCGCGCACGCCTTCACCTTGGAGAGAGGAGGGGGAATGTTGGAAGGGGGGGTGTACATACTGACCCCTCCTTCAACGATCGCGCTTCCATTGCAACGCTGCTACTGCACTGCGCCTAGCCCAACAGCAGCACCCGGTAAGCCTGTGGTTGAGGAGACACCGTCATACTGACTAAACCCAGATCTTGTGTGTCTCCCACACCTAAAAATACATAAGCAGGCTAGTTTCTCTGCACAATTCCTGACATGCAGTCTTGAAGGCATGCTCGTGGATAGGTTGCCTAGAGTTGTGTGTGGCTGTTTTTCCCTTCTAGAAGGGTTATGTAAGTGCGAGCACGAGATGGCGGTGCTGGGACTGCGATGTTCCAAGTTTCGGGTTTCATCGTGTGGGTGTGAAGAGGGAAGGAAGCCTGGAGATGGGATGATTCAGCAAACTTGAACTTCACCTTTCCCCAGGCTACCTTGAAGATATTGTCAATCATCCGTGAGGTGAATAACACCGTAGACATGGCAAGGAAGTGCAGCATGACAACCCCCAAATCTGGATCTCACAAGAGTCACCATCACCAACACCCCTTCACCTTACTGGCAACATAGACGCGCACGCATCATCACCACCCCAATCTATCACCCACCCTAAAATACCCAAGAAGGGAAAGAGAAGTTTTTTGCGCAATAGCAAAAAAAGAATGGTGTGAACACCCATCACGGCGAATCACAGGCAGATCACAGTCACACGGCCTCGCTGATTGGCTCTGTTCCACGAGGGTGCAGCAAAGTTGGATATGCACGACATTTTTGGCGGCACTAATTTGGGGCGATGCTGAGGGTTTTGGTTCAACGTTAGCCGCCCGCTGAGCACACACTGTCAGCAAGCACTATATGTGTGGGTGTGGTGCGTGGGTAGTTCTTGCACCAAACATGGGCGGTTGAGGTGATGATCATAGGGATGGGATTATCACAAGGCTGGGATTGTGCGATAGTGCTTGTGGTGAACTTTGGGTATGTTCGGTGAGTCAACTTGGGCGCTTTACACTTTGGCGACGGATTCCAGAAGGCTGTGCGAGATGGTGCAAAGTTGGTATGAGAGGATGTCTTGGGGTCGAAGGGTGACGCCGTGAAGGAGGACACCAGAGCTTGAGTATGGTAAAATGTGTGCACATTGGATAGGATCGCGGTGCAGTATTGATTGTCAGATGCTTCTGATGAAGCTTGGAGTCCGTCCAGATAGGTAGGTCAGGCAAGGTAGGATGAAGAGGCTCTGCTGAGGCTACTTCTGCCCCATGAGCAAACCCGCACATCTCACGGACCAGGACTGCCGTCAATATTTACCTGCTTCCAGCAGATGAGGGGTCGTAGCTAGCCTTCAGCTCATCTTTTGTTTCTCTAGTCTAGGTACCTCGGTTCTCGAACCTTACTTGACCCGGAGTGCAGACAAGCACCTCAACGTTATACTTCAGCTGGACCCCAAGCAGCACCTTCCATGGGGAAGACAGAATCACATCTACAGCTCTACACTCAGGTATCTCAGCCACAATCTGATATCTGATCCTCACATCCATCAAGAAACATGAAACAATTCCCCAAAGACTCACCTAACGCCACCACCGATCCCATAAGGCTGAAGCTGAACCTTTCCCTTCTGCTCAGCCTCGATCCCCCAAACCTCCCCCAAGCGCCCCATATTCATCAGTGGAAGCCACCTGCGGGCCATCCCATGGATTCCCCAGGCCAGATAATGCACCTTCCCAATTGTTTCCTTTCCCCCTTCCACGGGACAGTCGGCAGCCACATCCTCAGACCAGGTGGTGTGTGCATGTAAGAGGCCACGGATGCAGGTCGACACACGGCTGAAGAGCGTAACCGGACAGAGAAAGGAAGGCTTCCAATGCAACCCCTTTCAACGTGCAATCCCACCCAGCCACGCCAGGCCACAGTGATGTAAGGGCTGCCAACTCGTCTTTACCCGAATAACCCCAACCGAAGCCGGAGCGAGCATCAATGGCACTCTACTCGGAAGGCTTGGGGTCCTCCCGTCTCTAGTTTCCAGCCAAAACTCCAGAAAATGGAGGACAGGAAAGGCATCATACCCAAACAGAAAATGAAAGCCAACCAAAATAACACTTACCACCCCCAACACCATCAAGAATACAAGGCTCTGGCCCAAACATACCTACCACGAGGGCAAACCTGCACCCCCAAAACCCACCGAGAATTGGGTGATCATGGTAGGTAGGGTAGTATGGCACCACCAATAAAACCACTGGCATATATAGTCCCCCCAGCGTTACCTTTTCTGAGCCGCTGTCCGCGTCCCCCTCAAGACCGAGCAAAGCATGAGGCGTGGGTGTGCGCCTAACTTTTCCATCTTCTCACGCGACACAACATGTTGTGCCTGTGGGCAACAACCACTGGCTGGTAGCACACTGTCGCAGTCTTGCTTTCATTCACCATTCATCCAATCCATCGTGCCAGAACCACTACAGCTCAACAGTCAAAACATCATCATCCAAGGCAGCTGCGTTAAACCCAAAATCCCTTGGTCCCAAGTCTGCGCCAGAAAGTATATAGTACCAAGCACCGTCATCTTCGGCCCTTTCCTCACCAGCGAGAGTGGTACAAACAACCACCCCCGCGCCCCAAAATAGGGGTCTGGGAAATCTGACCTGCTGTAGTAGCACACACAACTTCCGCCGCCGCTGGGAAAGAACGTGGTAAAGATGCTGTGCCGCAGGGGCAGAGAGCGTGAGTGGTGAGCAAGATTGAGGCGCAGTCTTGTCGTTCACACCCGGAAAAGAGAAAGAAAGAAAGAAAGCCACACCACGAGGATTTGCTGCAAGAGATGGATGCACGATTGGGATGGGACGGGACGGGGTTACCGACCACCGGCGTCATCCTTCTCGGGGTTGGAGCTGACGGGAGGGTTCGGTGATGTACAAGTCCCGGCACCGAGCAGAAAATCCGGTGGAAATGTTTGACGCCGTCAAGGTGTGATAGTGATCGTTTGTTCAGGAAAGGGCAGACAACTTTGCCCAACCCCCACTTCGCACTTTCACTCGGCCGGCGGCTGGAAGAGGCTGTGAAAGGTGCAGTTCGTTGGGTTGGTTGGGTTGGGCAGAGGGCAAACCCACTTGTAGGGCTGGATAAGTCCACCCACCACTCATTCATGCGGTGATGGAGTTGTGCAGTCTGAAGCCAGAGCCAAACCTTTTCTCGACGTCCAACGCCCGGATCACCATCTGCCCTCCTTTAACCTTACTTGCTGTGGCCCAAGCGCACACTGCTGCAGGGGGAGAGCCGGTCGGTCGCGATAGTTTCACCCCGGCAGATCTCTCATGAGATGTTTAAGTCCCATCACCGTCATCCATAGCCCGAAAGAAAAGAACAAACATACGCCCCCCCCAAACCGCGCCTCATCCCTAGGTAGGTAGCTACCATCTGCCGGTTTTTATTCTTCCCAGATGTTTCAACTCTGCACAGTGCACCTCGACGCATTGGGGGCTAGATCTTGACTTGTCCCTTTTACACGCCCAATACCTAGCTAGGTGTTCAGGTTAGAGGATCAGATAACAGGTTAATCCTTCTCCCATCCTTCACACGGGAAAGACTCATCGGCGTGGACAGAGAATCCCAAACCCACCGACCTCTTTTTTTTTTTTTTTTTTTTCCTTTCCCTCCAGCAAAATCGCAACCGCGTCCCGTCGCACGGGTTGGAATATTCCCCGAGAATCTGTCCGACTGCGCCTCCCGAAGAAGGTCAGATCAGGAGTCACCAATGAGAGACCAATGTCGTAAACTTCGTAAAAGAAACATGGGCAGGCAGGAAGGTGAGATGTTGTCGGCCGTGGTTTATACACGGATACCGGCTGTATAATGACACCCAACCTCCCGATGACCCGTCAATAACTGTGCGCTCGACTTTGTGCGACGAGTTGTGTCGTGTTGAGTTCGCAGCTTCTGTCGCTACCCGTGTCCAGGAACAGGAGGTGATCACATCATCGGGAGGTGACTTGCATATCGTGTTTGAGAGTTTTTCAGCTTGTGATAGATCGGCCTCTGGAGCTGATCAGAAGCAAAGATGTTTCTGCAGTGTGCAAAGGAGAAAAGAGTTTCATCGAAAAAAAAAAAAAAGGGAATCTCGGCTGGGAAAAAAGAACGGAAGGAGGCGAACCGGCAAGATGGAAAAAAGGGCGGCCGATGCGGTCCGAATTCTTCTGTTCATCCGACCGGATGGAGAGAACGGAGGGTCGTTCCTGCCATCGGATTGGTGATGCCCGCCTGGTGACATCCAAGAAGTTGTCGCACTGTGTTTTTGCCTTATGTCTCCAAGCATACCCCGTCACTGTCATTAAAGTTGGGAGTGGATTCCTTGTTATGTTGACAAGTTCAGACGAACCGTCCAGGAAATAAAAGTTGGAACTGCCATCCTGACAGTGGAGGTCCCAAATTCCGCAGTTGACATTTGACAGGTAGCCCTACTGATGGAGTCTTTTGTGAAGATTCTTGAAAAGCGGCATGTTCATCATGGATCCCTTGGATTAGCCCAGTTCCAATTCCAGCATCAAACTTTCATCTCATCTTCCAAAGCCAGGGGGAAAGGAAATTCATGTCATGAATCCAGATGATTGACATCCATCATCCCCTGCCACTTGGTAGTTACCAGGCAGACGTGTGTCCGACACAAGCCATCTCATTATTTTCCCTCAACCTCCCCTTTTCCCATGACATTTTGTGCAAGCGTGATGAACAAAAATCTGAGCGGCGCAAGTGAAATGTCAAAATATTGAGAGGCACAGACAAAGGAGATCCCGATGCCCTGGTGAGACTGGAACTTGCCGATAACACACTCGCATACGCGCACATACCACAAAGTGTTAGGGCTCGGATTTAGGGTTCCTTTTTATCCCCATTTTGTTGGCACAATGTTTTCCAGCTGTGAGACATTACAAAATATTTTGTGACTTTTACCATGTTTTACATTTATGGGCGAAAATGAGGAATGTGGTGAGATTCCCAAGTAAAAAAAATGTTGATGCACACAAATCACAAGAGGCATCAAAAATTATTGTTCAATAAGTGAGAGGGGAAAACAAAATAGTTGAGCTGTGAACTGAAATCCATATTATATCTCAAAACGTCGAACCCGAAACATTTCCTTCTAATAATTGCTAAACCGCTATTCTATTTGACCCTCGCTGCTGTCGCCCTGCCAGATATCTTGTCACAACAAAAACAAAAAAATACTAAATAGAAAATGGGTATATCCATCTCGTGGGAAAGAATAAAAAAGATAAAGAAATGAAAGGAAATAGGGCGCGCGTAAAAAATTCGAGGCGCCCTTGATGACAGTGTAAATGATCGAGGCTTCTTGGACGCCCAGCGATGCCGACCACCCCAAACCAAAGAGACAAAAAACAAGACAACCATTACATGGCGACATACCGCCCCGCCCCACGCCAACAGACTTGATAGTAAAAAAAAAACAAATATCCTCCGAGATCCAAAGACCTGCCCCGTGATCCATCCAAGTAGAAAAAAACCAAAAAACCACCGGTACTTTTGTTATCCGTGTCCCTCTCTCTCTTGTAAAAAAAACAAGTCGGCAGCTCTTCTGTTGCTGCCTTTCAATAGTAGTAATAATAATAAATAATCATGTCCGATCCTGCCTCGTCTGCACATTGGGTATTGGGTATCGCTGTGGAAAGACCGGAAAAAGACGACAACACGACGCTAGGGGGAGTGATCCCCGCCCGTGTTTTATAAAGACCCCGGATGACCAAAAGAGTTGGAAAGAGACCTAATCGTACAACCTGGCTCCTGTAAATCCTTTTCGGGTTTTGTTTGTTTTGGTGTTGTGTTGTTGTCATGGCGTGATGACCACGTGTGATGTGATGTGATGTGATGTGTGTGTGTGTGTGTGTGTGTGTGTGTGTGTGTGTGTGTGTGTGATAGATAGTGTGTATGATGTGGGAGGGGAGCTGACGCGGGAGGAAGATGAGAAACCATGATGGCAATAATTTTACACGGTCGGGCTCCGGAGGATCTCCTCACAGTTGGTGTCGAAGCGCAGGTTCCAGAGGCGGACGGAATGCATAAAGCGCTCAGTCTTCTCTAGCTCACGCTCACGGCCGAAGAGGGTCTCGACAAACTCTACACCGGCATTCTTTCCGAGCTGGGGATCCTTCTTCTGGGTGGTCTTGACGCGAAGCATGGGGGCCTCGCACGCCTTGAGGAGCTTGCGGAGCTTGTCGGTGAGGCGGTCGCCGGCCTCGATGAAGTCCTCAACCATCTGCTTGTTCTCCAGGGCACGGATCTTGGGAACGGACTCCTCGGCACGCTTGATCTTTCCGGCCAGCTGGATCAGAAGGAGCCAAAGCTCTCCGGCCATGTCCGAGATGGGGGTGGAGGGTCCGTGGTGGTAGACGGTCCAGTCATAGATCCACTTTCCAAGGGAGTTGGCATCGAAAACACTACCCAGCAGCATGATGGGCTCCTCAGTGGGATCCCAGTTCTTGAGAGAGTATCCGGGCGGGATCTTGTGCCGCTTGGCATCCGCCTCCGTGGCAGCACGGGCGGCAGGTGGTGGTGGTGGCTTCTTGTGGGGGTTGGCGGTGGGTCGGGCAGTCTGAGGTCTCTGGGGAACCGATGTTGAGCTGCGGCGAGCATGGCCGCTGATGGGAGCTGTACGGCGCTGTTCCTCAAAGCGCGGCGACGCGAACCCCGCCTCTCTCTCTCTGTCGAAAAAGGGACCGCCCTGCTTGTAGTAGTGGTAATCAGTTGCATGCCCTCTCCCAGCGTTGACAGTGAAGAAGTCCTTGCTGCGCTTCGACTTGGATGACCTCCCCGGCAGCAGGTAGGTGACACCATCGATCTCGATGAGCTCGTCCTCGTCCGACTCTCCATGCGCGTCCACGACCGGATAATAGGAAAAAGAGGTGCTGCGACGCTCCCTCCTGGGAGGCGATGCCGAGAAACTTGGCTTGCGTGAAGACCGCGATTGACTCACATTCACATTGGCAGTGGCGTACTGGCCTTCGCTATTGTACCGAGGCGAGAACGAGGGCGTCCGAGGACTGGGGAACTCGTGCCTGAATGAGGCGCCAGTGGTGCTCGGAGTGCGGAAGTGGGCGCGGGTGGCCGGTCTCTGGACCGGAGGAGGCCCATAGTAGCCGGGTCCCCGGGGTGATGGTGTTGGAGAAGGGCTGGGAAACTTGTTGTCGTCGTAGAAAAACTCCGCGGTGCGTGCGGACGCATAGGGTGAATAGCTAGCCATCGTCTCCGGCTCTTGTGATGTCCTTCGAGACATCAAATCCTATCAAAAAGAAAAACCTCTTTCTCTCTCTCTCTCAAATACCCCCTCGCCCGATGCCAAGGCTGTTGTTTTGAGTCGTTTCTGCTGGGTTTTGTCGTCGAATCCGTTTGCTGTGTTGGGCGCTGAAGGGGACCAATTCACCTTGGTCTGTGGTCGGTAGGAAGAAGGGGGATGCACTGTCTTCTGATTTCTGACATATCAAGGGATCTGGCGGATGGTTTTATGCGCTGTCCTGATGGGAGCCACGGTCACCAAAGTTGCGAAGAACTCTGGTGGTTGCGAGAAGGAACTGGACGCTTCGTGGAGGTCCAGTGTTTGGCTGCTTTGTAATCGAGTGTCGGATCTCGAAGACTGTGACTGGTGAATTATTTCATGAGAGGGTTTTTTGGCGAAGCCAAAGGTGCTAAAGCAGGACGACGAGTTTTCGGGTGTGGGTGGCCTTTATAAAAATGGTGGGCAGTTCCACTCGCGCACCAAAAAACAGGGGCAAGGTCTGGTCTCAGTGACCTTGCGAACTTTTTCGCTCGAGGGCTGGGGGCTGATGTGATGGTGGGGGCGTGTGCGTAACTGGGATGTGGCAGGGGAATTGTCTCAGGGGGCTGTCTATAACCACTCCTCCCCTGCCTGACCAGGATCGCAATGTATCCTGCCCAGTCCCAATTGAATTTTCCAAACACTGTGTCTTTCTCCAGCGCAAGCACGGCCCGTCTTGCGGCCAATGGATTTCCAGATAGAGAGAGAGGAATTTCTCTGCTTCTCTTGCGTAACGCTCTCTGCGATGTTGAGATGAATCACGGGTGAATCACTGAACAAGAGTCTTCCATTTCTCTGACAGGTCCCAGGTCCTGGATTTGTGAAATTTGCGAATGGATTGCAAAACGGGAAGGCGTGCGATGTTCCCCTTCTAAGCGAAATTGGTCCACACAATGACTGGGAATATTTCAAGGTCTCTGTCCAACGTCGCGTCGAGCCCAGGCTTCATTTCAAATTCCCAACGGCCCGTGAAAATTTTTAAGAGGCGTCGACGCGGCTGTTCTGCCTGAGTGGTGTAAACGAGGCCGGGGGCGCAGGGGACAGGAAGGCTGGGAATCCGGAACAGCGGCTTGGGCCACCCTGGCCTATCTGACCACGAGAAATGTCGTGGCCTTGTGGACGAGGCTGCAAACAGAGTCGCTTAGCGCTTCGTATCAATTGCGTTTCGGGGTATATGTTGCCGCCGGATAATACTCCGTGCCTGCTGAGCTGTGAGCAATCTTGGGAGAGATGATTGTGAACCGTCGTCAGCAGATAGGTGCCTTCAACCATGTGTGATGGTGATGATCAGCGGCGGCGTTGGGCTTCATCATCGAGGAGGTGCAAGATGGGATGGGCGCGTAGAGACAAGAGTCATAATTGACGGAGTGCTCGGAAGCAGGCGAGAGGCTTGATTATGAAGGCGCCAGTTCGGTGACGTTTGCTTGCCTTCTTTCGCCCCTCTAGTGTATGAATGATCCGCCAGATTGGGATGGTGAAATGCGGGGTTGCATGTGTGAAGCTGTGACATGTTGATAATGCACACAGCGGCACAAGCATCACCACCCAGATAACGTATGTAGGTCCAAGGTCCAGATGACCGTCATGTGGTTGCTGGCCACCACGTCCCTACCCCCAACCTGGATCCCGCAGATAGCCTGGCCGGAGATCATCGGAGCCCGCCAAGCGGGAACGGTTGTCAGCGTCGTCCGGCGCGGGGGACCGATTGTTCGGCGCAGGAGTGCGGGCGTTTGTAGTTCACGTGTCCCAGATGCACCGACCTGCAGCCCCGTTTTGAGGTGGGGGAGATCTGGCGGGACTTGCATGCGGCCGCCTCGAGGGCCAATCACGAATTTCCATGGAATATTCCACCCCTCCACTTGCCTTCTTTTTAAATCATGGAATTTCTAATCTTTCGACATCTCCTTCGATATCCCATCCACCCGTTTCTCTTTTCGGCCACCATCCACCGCTTCATATCGACCGTTGTGCGATGTTCAGCAAAATTCCAGCATCTTAAACAAAAAATTAACGTGCAACCTCGTGTACGAAGACGATCTGGAGCACGAGCTTTTCTGTCCTCACAAACAACACCAACCGCCAATCATTCTTGATTCTGCCGGTACCGAGACCATATCGCCTGAATAGAAACACTGTCACAAATCCAAGCAGTTCTGCCGTGTGTGCGTCGGAGGACGAGCGGACGGACGGCCTGGAAGATACCCATGGCATACGACCAGACCGCCCAAAAGGCTAGCAAACATTTACGATATCGCTGCCGCACCTTGCCTATCACGGTTTTTCTCAACAAGACAGCAGCTTACCCAAGCCTTCGGCACGGCATCCCTTTGATCCCACTTGATGACACATCTCCGCTCACCGTGTCCTTCGCCAAAAGCACCCCGGAGCATCCACGGTGAGGACACAGTATCACGGCACGGTCAAGAACAGCCGCGGGTCAATCCGTCAAATCAAGAAGCCCTGTCCATCATGCACGAAGCAACACACCATCACACGGCCTTGGTATCCTAGCGCCGTCAATGGAGCGCACACCCTTCACCTTCATTTTTCGTTGCGTCTTGGCAGGCTTGGCAGTCGTACTGCCCAGTGGTGAATCCGGGCACGCTTTGTTTTTTTTCTAGAAGAAGCACACCCCTACCTTGCTCGTATCTTAACCCCCGGTCGAGGTGCACGGCACCGACCCCCGTCAATCATTTTCTTTTCTGATTGATTTGCTCCCTTTTGGCTCACCGTAAAAAATTTTCCTCCCCGAACCAATGCGATTTTCATTTGACCCCTGGACCAGCGCCGTCGGCGAAAGGGGTGAAGCGACAAGTGTCGAGGGAGGACAGGGAGACGGCGAGAGACATGAGATGAGCGGCATCCAACAAAAAGCACACTTTTCCTCTCCCTTCGGTGGGTGCCATCTGCCCTATGGCAACTGGTGAGTCACGATATCTAGTATACGGGGGAGTGTGGGAGTGCATGTACGGTTTATGCTTCGCTGCCCTAATGGTTGCTGGGCCCATTGTCTGATGCGTTGATGTCCAATATCAGCAGGCTGTTTGGGTGCAGACCGCTGAATGGCCAATGGGCCTGCGTCGGCACCTTCAGGATGCAGATGCACCCGGCCCCCGATTGGATTCTCGGGATCCGCTGAGCACTGACTGGTCCATCCAAAAGCACACCCCATCACCAAACAGGTTGACTGGCGAAGAATGTATCGATCCTCGCAGCCGGCCTCTCGATCACCTCGTCAAGAATAGGCAACTTTGAAGCGGCTATGGGACATCACCAACCGATGTTGCAGAGTTTTGTCCCTCACCGACAATTCTCGACGATGGCGAGCATCCAGAAAGCGGCCGGGGTGGCATGGAAAGATTCCTCGCCGTACATATTTCATGCCGGGGGGGGGGTGTAGAATGTGGGAAAGCGTCTTACACGCCGAGGAGCCGGTGTGATCCTGGACGCCGGCCTTTGACGTAGCGTCATGCCCACAAAACTTTTGAGAATTTTGCAAAAAAAAAAAAAAAAAAAAAAAGGTCGATATCTCTGTCCAATGCCGCTCTCTGCCAACCGCGATTGCAGGAGGAAAAAGATAGGAACGAAGGGTCGAACACTCAAGAGCAGTCAAGCGGACGGAAGCAGGAACGTTGCAAAGCAGGGACTGCCGTCCCTTATCCGGTCCCTGTTGCGATCGCCGTGGGCTACCGAAGGCGGACTTTAGATAGGCGGAACACCAACAATGGCAACGGCCTTTAGGTGGATCAGGCATCACCAGCATCGACCGACCTCGACCGCAGCCCTCGCGTGCCCTCACACACAATGTACGAATCGTCTGGCACCACACCCCTTTTCTTTGACAGAAACCCTCCCAACAACCCAACATCCAGTGAGATGACCAAGGCGCTGTTGATGACCCGCCTCACTTCTCACTCGTCCGCAGAAGTTCGTGTCACCAAACCACAGTCTGTCTTGTCCCTATAATCGAATAGGGGCTACGGAACACTTATCAGGTGTCCCACCTCTTTGAATGCCACTCCTGCCAGTGATGTAAAACAACGACGTTGCGATGAATATCGGCAATCAGACGGCCGCGCATTTTCAATCAGCTGCCTTTGAACACAGCACTCCTTGGCCAGTCCCGCCGTGCTCGCTCTCCGAAGACACCGGCACCCCGGGTGGGAGGCCTTCCATGTTTGGAAGCCGGAGCCAATTACAAGCCGAGCGCAAACGGGCCTCGTCAGCGGTGAGCATCGAATGCTGTCTTGCTGGTCTTGCTTGCCCAGTTCGCCAATCCCAAAGCTTTGATAGCAACGGGACGTCACGCAGGCGCTGTGGTTTTGTTTTTACCCTTGATGAATGTCTTGCAGACAGAGAGAATGGCTCTTCTGCACCTTGCCTTTTTCCTTCACAGTGTTGCGACGCTTCAGGGGCAAGAGGAGGTTAGCGCAAACGCAGCAACTTTGACACTTTCTGTTTCGCATGGCATCGCAGCGCAGGCTGTTCCAGCAAATGCACAGGCCACAGGGCAATCACCGCCAAGAGCTGAGCTTGCCTGAGGTTGCTTTGAGGCAAACGACACACCAGGGAAGACAGGGTTAGAGCTGGTGGAGCACTCAGCTCTGAAGAGTTGTTTCTTTTTTTCCTCCATCTCGACTTTCACATGCATCACAGCAGCCAGGTACGGTTGGACAGAGTGTGACAAAGTGCAAAAACCCGAGTGTCTGGGACCAGCTTCTCTCGAGCCACATGGTGGCTTAGCTGGCTGAAAAGATCTTCGTGATCCTAGTCTGGTTCGTCTGATTGGCTGTTTTACCTCTTCGGAACATCCCCGGCTCCTCGTGCTGTGGCGAGTGCATCCTAGCATTAGCCATCCCGGGACTGTGGCACGCCCGGTGGAAACTGTGGATGGTGCCTGGGTGCTGACAAACGCACGGTCCAGCACTCTCTTCCGACTTCTTGTGCCGGCATCAGGCCGAGATGGAACTTCAAGACCCAATTCTTGCCCAACTTCCTTCCAACTTCTCTTCCTTTCTGTTAACGAATGCGACGATTTCGAGGCCTCGATTATTCCATTCCGCCTCAGAGGTAACCTGCCTACGTCAGAATTCCTTTTTCATTTGTCATCCGTCGGATATCGACACACCCCAGCCAGCACTCTTCATCTGTCGACCTCAGGCCTCAATATCCCACACTTTTCTCTGCTGCCCTGCCCTGTGGCTGAGGCAATTTACGTATCCCTATTGCACGGCAGTTGGAATAGCCGGCAAGGTTCAGCAGATGGCAAACTGAAGCGGTAGCTACAATGGAATTGAGTCACTGGTGAATCAGCTACAGGTCGAGTGTGCAGCTATCGCCGATGCTACGGTCACGGGGCCAACCACATGAGCCTTCGATATCCGCCCCCATATGTGAGGTATCGTCCACTTCAACGGCTATCCCACGCTCTAAACGCGCGGTCCCTCTCACGGCGATACACGACTGGGGCTCTTGCAACTGTTTTGTCACTTTTCATTCAACATCCCACGCTTTGGTTGTCCGTGGTTTACCCACTCCCGACTGCCTCGGGCCTCTCACATATCCTGCTCACTCACACGCCTCCCGTACCTCTTGGGTGAAGGGCCGATACTCCGCCCACACTTCCGACAGCCTCGGCGGTAAGCTGTATATCAGCTACGTTCACACTTGGAGCACGCCGGGCGAAGGCTATTCACTTAGCTCATCTGTTGTCAAGGTGAACGGGCATGGCAAGCTACGCAAGCGCGTACACGAAAACCTGCGATCTGCAATCTGGCACTTTTTATATCTTTTCTGTCGTGTTTCTGCGATCCGCGTTCGCCACTTTGGGCACTGTGTTGGACCGAAAGGGGCAGTGCCATATCGTTTTTGCGTTGTCTCTTCGCGATGCCACACCCACTGGCTACGTCAAACCTTTCTCCTCTTTTTTCCGGACAAGCGGAGACGGAAGACTGGCAGTGGTGAGATCGGTCTTATTATCTGGGTAATATTACACACATGCTATGGGTCGTGGACAGGCGTGGTCACAGATGATCAGCACGGGGCATCATATTGAGCGTTTTGTGGGAAGCACCGGGACCCCAGTGGGGAAGAAGGCTTTTGCAACCCAACGATGGGTGCCCGGATCTTGTTCCTGCAGCAGGGACGCCTTGGTTGAGAGCCTGTTTGTGGCTTTGCTCTTGTTTCTTATTCATGAATCTGGACTGCTCGATGAACGCGAGTGCATCCCATTACATTACATCGTCTCGATTGATGGTCCTCTCAGGTCGCAGTGGATCGGGTTCCGGCATATTTTTCTGGCAGACTGAGACCAGTTGATCATGGGTTGATTCCCTCTGGTGCTGCCACTTTGCCCGGCAGGCAATGCTGCTGAGCCTTGGGCATAGTGCTTAGTGTCGGGTCAGTTGGGTTGAGAGATCAGACCTGGGGTGAGTCCAGGTCCTAGGCGACACACCAACTCTTTGCTTTGTCGTCTTCACTGGCGTCACTTTTGATCTCGAAGAGTTTCGAGATCGACATCATGTGTCCCCAGAGTGTTTTGTGTAACAAGGTTGACTGTGTTCTGGAAGGGCCCGACGGAAAAGCAGGGTCGGTTCCCTCCTGATATGTTGGACACGAGTTGGGAATCAGAATGATCGTCAAGTGACGTTATTTCCCGGCAGCGGTTATCTGCTGTGTATCGTGCGTCGGCCATGTCAGTGGGCGTTTCTCGGTGGGAGGGGGGAGGGCGTGTGGGATATGGGCAGAGCCTCGTTGACTCGACTTTCTTGAGTCGAGTCGAGTCGAGTCACGGCTAGCCACACCCCTCTGCGTCCTTTCTCTCTTCCCCAAATGCAACGCTCTCGAGGTCGGGTTCGGAAAAGGCTTGATATGAGAGGCCAACTTGCGCAGACAGTGTTGTTCACTGTGGCATTTTTGGGTTGTGTACATTTGCTATCGTCACTGCATGTGTAACGGGTCTGATAGGTTTGCTTGATATGACAAGTCCAAGTTCTGAGGGGGGGGAAATATGGTGGTAGTCATAGGACCTATGCTTCCTTACTCTTCATTTGTCTCACGACGACGAAGGCAAAGGACGAGGCTTCCTGTCACACAGACGTCCGCGGCACGAAGGAGGTAAGCAAACGTTGAATTAAGCTTCTTCATAGGCTGATCTGATGCCTGTTTCTTCCTCACACATGCTGTAATTGTTGAGTCTTGTGGGCATGGGGTCGCCAAGCGCCGAGGGGTGTAGGTACCCCTGTTTCACGGCGTCAAGGACGGGCATAGTGTACAGAGCTTGCGTCATGTCTTTTTTTCGGAGGGGAAATTCTCGCTTGTTTTGAGGCTCATCCTTCTTGTTATCTTGTATTTTTCACTCATCTCGGACGCCTTTTTGGTGGAAGGGTGTTTGGGCCAATTATATGTGGCTTGGGGGAGATGTGAGTCACCGTACCACACCTTGGTTGATGGTTGGTGTTTATTGGATGATGAGGGGTGATAGGTCTGTGAGGCGGCCCTTGCTAGGCAGCAGGCGGTTGAGGGACATAAAAGTCAAAAGTTGATTCCTGTGGTTGTTGTTGGAGAAGAAGCTGGAGGTAGGTCTTGTAAGTGGCGGTTGGTAATCACGGTGCATTGCATAGAACTGCCGGCCAAGCACGCACGTCTTCCGGAGCCTCATGGGAGATCTTGGATGTAGAGGTGTTAACGTGTGAACAAGGTCAAGGGGTTGATGCAACCTCGGGATTTTTTCCTTGTGGATGTCTCGGACATGGGTAGGGAGTGATGAGGCTTATTTCTTGTGATACTATCGCAGTGCTATGTTTTTCGGTGTCTTTGGTTTAGGGTAGTTATTGCCTAGAAGCTAATTATGTGGTCGAGCAACTCGCCCGCGACCCTTCATCTTGCCGTGATGTTCTCGAGAAGGATTGGTGAGAGCTGACGAGGAAGGTGATAGGGGTTACACCAGGTAATCGGCCCATGTGTTGTTCATCGGGACGATGTTTAGGAGTGAGACAGGCGATAAGATGATGCACGTTGTTGTGGTTAAGAGGTAGCTTCTTCACCAGGATAAATTATATTTGAGACATCATGGAGTAGATGTACTAATCTTCTGTCTAAGGTAGACTGAGGATCGTTTGAGCATCTCATGCTTGCCCAATGGTCAAATCTGCGAGCGGACAGCGAGGGTAATTCCATATAACGGCATGGAAAAAAACAGTGAAGTCAATTTTGACAGGGTATCGTTGAAACCTGGAAAAAGCAGCCGAAAACAAAAGGAAAAATGAAAAGCCCCTCCAAAAGAAAAACCGTCCATCATGATGACAACCAACTTGTCCCGTCTCCTCACCTCCTTTCCCAGCAGCCATCTCCCCTTTACTTCCAAACACTCTCACTCCCCACACCCTCCGCCTTGCCCTTCTGGTACGTCTCACTGAGCGCGTCATATAACCCCTTTAGCCTCTTGACCTCCCCCCTGAAGTACTCCCTCTCCTTCCCATCCTCCACCTCCTCGATCAGCTCCCCTAGACTCTTGCTCTTGAAGAACTTGTTATTCTTGTTATACAACCCCCTCCTCTTAAACTCACCCTCCCCCTCATTTTCTCCCCTTACTTTGAACACCTCCTCCAGAATGTCAATGTCATACGGGATATTGAACGCGTCTCTTGAGTCCTCGTAGGTGAACAAATAGTAGAACTCGTTGAACCCAGCCCAGGTGATTCCAGACAGACAGAGGGAGCAGGGCTCGTGTGTGGCGAAAAAGATGCAGGAAGAAGGGGAGGGGCGGGAGGAGGGGGGGATGGTGGTGAAGAATTGCTGGATGCAGTTTATTTCGCCGTGGAGGAGGGGGGAGAGGGCTTCGTTGTTTGTGGCTGTTGTTATGGGGGACAGGGTGTCGCGGGAGAGGATGGAGGCGCCGAAGAGTTTTGAGCCGGAGGAGACGCCGGTGGTGGTGAGGGGGATTATGGTGGACTCGGTGAGGGTGAGGAGGGTGGTGAGGAGAGTTGAGGGGGGGTGCGGGTTCGGGGGGGTGTTGGTGTTGGTGGGCATGGTGGTGGTGATGATGTTGTTGTGTGGTTGGATGTTGTGGTGTTGGGTGATGATGTGATCTGTTGTTGAGCACCGGTGTCCTTTTATCGATCGCCGTGTTGGGCTCTCCGGGGCCGGTGACGGCGATGGCCGAGGGCGCGCCAAGGATTCTCGGCGGCTCCCGGAGGGGTCCGGGGCGGGGATCGGAGGTGCCTATCGGCGGTGGCAGAACTATTGATAATTTGCATGTTTGATGGAAATTGAGCTAATGCAGAATTATTTCGGTGGAGAAATGCTTTCAGCAAGGATGATGCTATTGAAACAAAATGTTGTGCAGTGGATGACCAGTTCGGGGACCCCTAACCCAGCGCCCTTCTGTTCAACCCCACATGCTCTGTCCCTCTCTTCTTACAGCCACAGACCTCAAATCTGGCAAGCTTCAACATCCCATGCGTAATTGTCCTCTTCAATCATGACTTTCCCGTCGTCACTACCGCGATAACCACTCCACTTCTTTTGGTCCTTTTCTCGCAATGGCTGACACGGTGTTAGCGCCTGGTTCACGTTCGGCGTTCGTCCATGGCACTCACCCACAGTCTACTGTACTTGATGTAGACGCCACCAAAGAACAACACTTTCTTCTCGCCTTCCTGGAAATACTTCGTCAATGAGCGGCTCTGGAGCTTCAATGAGGGTGACCTACCTCAACCTGTGGCTCATGCCACTCCGTAGCAGTCTCACCAACATAAAACTCAGTCGAAGCATCAATCTTCGCAACATTATCAATCTCAGCTGAGGCCCCAATGACAACCGATGTGCCCTTGGTGGTCCAAGTGGTGATCCGGATATCCCTCGCCGTTATGGTCGATGTGATAACATAAAAACCGCCGCTCTTCTTGATGTCAGGGAACCTCCTCAGGAGATCCTTGGCATTCTTGTTCGCCCATGTGCTGAAGGGGTCTTTGAGCCCAAACGATCTCTTCTCGACCGGATCATTGCACAGGAGGATCGCCCCAAACTCCCCCTTAAGCTCATATCTGTGGGCAGAGGAGAAGGTGGCAGGAATGTTGGCTTGAGTTGCGGCAGATGTTGAGATCGCAACCCTGCTGACGGTTTCCGTTATCCTGGGACCCCATTTGGAGCTTTCTCGCCGCTTTTCCCACGTTCGTCCTACGAAGGGGCTTAGGCCAAAGGCTTTGAGTTCTTGCGGTTTGGTCACGTCGACGATTCTCTGCCAGTCGCCCCTGTCGTCGATGAAGCCGCAGACACCGGGGTAGGCGTCGAGATCGGAGGCTGGGCTGAGCAAGGCATGGCCGAAGCCAGACTTTCGCATCCCATAGGCGTAGTCCTCGAACTGGAAGGATTCTGCTTTTATGGTCATGGTTGAGGTGATGTCCGCCGCTTGACTGTGGTGAGGTAAAGGTGCATGAGGTGAAAGTATCTGTCATTGAGCTGCATGGAGACCTTGGAAGTGATGTTGAGGATACTTGAGGGACTTTTGGAACCAATGGATAACAGGCGCAGATGTTTGAACCACACAGGGAACAGACCCCTCGATTGGGCTCCGTGCCCATCAACGGAGCAGCCCAACCTTGGAACACCATGTCGCCCAATTTGCGGCCGGCATTCTGCTTCTCTACACTCCACAACACAGTGTATGATGGGTCAACAACAGTATCAGAATGTCTTGGGACTGTTCCTTGCCTGGGAAGAAGATGGAGGAGAGCATGCATCTACGGGGGAGAACCCGTTTCACACGCAACTGGAGGAGTTTGTCCACACTCTTCAGCTGGGATACAACTATGACATTGAGCAGTGGCTCATTCCGTCAGAAAAATATCCTCGTGCCTTGGACAAGAAACTGAACGAGACTGTCGAGCGGATCAATGAATGCAGTAAGAAGGAGGAGGGCGCATTGGACCTGCTCATCATCTACTACGGTGGTCATGCGGTGGCCAACCCCCACGAACCCGATAATGACCTGTTATTAGTTCCGTAAGTCTCCCGAAATTCTTTCTCGACGAGCTAGCTGCCTTCGCTAACTTGACGATAAGATGCCCAAAAAGCAAGGACGTATCCGTTTCTTGGGCGACGGATGTTTTATCAAGAATACAATATGTAGAGGGTGCTGATATCCTGATTCTCTTGGACTGCTGCTACGCGCAGAGAGGCCAGCATGCGATAGATCACATGCATCGGCCACCGCCGAGACCAATGGTCACTCTCGCGGCTGTTGACATTGATGGCAAGGCTATCCAAGATGGGGACTATACGTTCACCCAAAACCTATGCGCACAACTTGAGGAGTTTGGAAACAATACGGAGACTTTCAGTATCAGCCAGTTGCATCGAGCCCTTCGACGAAGGACCGCTAGTTGGAGACGACGTCAACCCGACGGCAAGATTCCAGATCCTCTGATGTCCTCCAACACAACTCATGAGTTTGGGTTGCTGGGACCGCTTGAGCCGCAAGTAGACCCGGCTGAGACGTCGACCGTGGGAGGAGCTATATCCGCCAAACCAGCTGGGCATGCCAAAGAGGAACGGTGCCCCGTAACCGCAGAGAGGTCTTCATCTGCCCTTGCCGCCTCTCAGCTCAAACCTTCAAGTCCTCGAGCCATCAGCGCGGGAACCCATTCACCAGCTTCTCTCAAGAATGCATCATGGGAGGACAATGTCAGTTTCTGCATGGAATTCCATGACGTGGATGAGGCACGCCCTCCTAGTGCGCCCTCTTCAGTTCTCAGTTCCCGTTCCCTTTCGCCAGCCTATTCAACAACCTCTCAAAACGGGCGTCTACGAACCGGAAGTCCTGATACTCGCCCTTGGGTTCCTAGCATCGTCGATATGCCCGCCACCTCACCCCACGACAACCTCAACATCTACGTCAGTCCACCTGACGTGGAAGCAGTTATGCCCACCGCTCCGATGAGTTGTTCCCCTGCTGCTTCATCGAGCTCCTTACAAGAGTCAATTCTGCCGCCAAGAAACAAGAGAGATCACCAAAAGTGTTATGATGTGCGACTGTCACCTTCTGCTCCGTACGAGAGTCCCAGGATAAACCCACGGGGAAGCAAAGAAAGGACAGACAACATGCCATACCCGCGACATTCGCAGACAGTCATGCCAATGTTGCAAAATCGAAGGTCACAAACATTTGACAATGCTGATTTTGGCCGGGCAAGGGATGGCTATGGGGGTCCGCGTTGGCAGGCGCAGGCTGACTCTGACTCCGAGGATGAATTTTGGCCCCCGGAACACTCGGGACCTCGTCATCAGTTGTATGGTGGTTATCGGCGGTGAAAGGGGAGGTTGACGGTTCAGAGGTAGCGTGATTGTTGGTTTGTTATGACTCCGGAGGATCGGTGTTGCGGACAGTGACTGAGCACAACGGAGGAATGTTTCTGACAGATGTCTTGATGTATGTAAGCTAGACCAATATCTGGTTTCTTCATACTTTTAGATGAACAAGACAATATAGATACGCGTATTGAACACCATTCTTCCAAGCTACCTCCATCGACACACTCTCTATCTGTAAACCACCATCCAAAACCACCTTGATCCCCACAGCAACCCCCAGACTCTTCCCAGATCCCCACAAACACCCCTTCGTAACACCAATGACCTCAGAACTTGTATAACACTCGACCTATCGGGACCAATATCCCCAGGTCTTTCCTTCCCTGCCACCCACGAGAGGTGGGGGATGGGTGTGTGATTGTCATCACAGGTCTTGTTGCATGAAAAGAAAAAAGAATACTACACAAATTTATCCCCCAGAGTGAAAAGCCTCAGACCTCAGACTTTGATGCTTGGCCTGTGAGAAAAGAAACAACAGGTCACCCTCCCGTGAGAGAAAGAAAACAACGGGAGGGATGCGTGTAGGTGTCATCATTGGTCTGTGATAGTTTCGTGTTGACGGGGAAAATGACTGCAACTACAGGTGTCTGTCCAGCCACAAAACAAGAGAAGCGTGCCCCCAAGAGCCCTCAAAAAGCACAACTTGAGAAAGAAAAAACGATAAAGACCTCAGACTTGGAATACTCGATCTGTGGAAGAAAACAAGACAGGTCTCACTCCCGCGTGAGAAAAGAAAAACAATGCGGGGGTGATTATCATCATTGGTCTCTGATAGTTTCGGTGTTAAAAGGAGAAAAACTTTGTGAAAGCCTAAAGAAGGACAAGAGGGAAGGATAGTGTAGAAAAGAAAATGTGAAAAAGAAGGGTAAGGACAGCAGAAATGAAGGGAAAAAAAGACAAATAAAGGTAGAAGCAAAAGTGTGGTTGTTTGACGAAGCCCTCTCCAAACGTGAGAAACGACCAGGCGAAAATGATGACCTCAAACTGTGTGTGGCACTAGACCTTCGAGAAAACAAACAGGTCTCTCTCCCGCGAGAAACGAAACGACGGGAGGGATGTGTGTGCATATGTCATCATCGGTCTGTGAAACTCTTCGTGTTTGGGTGAAAATGCCTGCGCTAAGACGCATGAAAGAGGTGTGATGTTGTAAGATAAAACGGGGAACGGGAAAGAGAAAAGTAAAGACGGCAGAGAAAGGTAAAAAGAGCAGAGAAATGCGAACAGGGGAGGAAAAGGATAAAAGTAAAGGGAAAAGAGGTGAAGAACGATTGAAACAAGGCAACGAAGGGTAGGGAAGAAAAAGTAGAAAAGGAAACAAAAGCGGACATGAGAAAGAAAAATGGTCCTGATGTCCACCACCAACCCCACGTGTATTCTTCAAATCCGTACGCCCTGTATGTCGGGCAACTGCGCAAGACCTCAGACTAGCAAGCCAAGCCCTGTATAGGTCTGCCATTGTCATCGGTGCCATATCTCACAGTCGAACGTCACTGACAAAAGCCAGTCTGAGAAAAAGACGAAGAATTGGACTTGCCTAGAGAAAAAAACAAGCAGGCAGCCAAAGTGATCCCCCAGGTCCCACAGAGAAAAGTGAAAAACCTCAGAGTCTCGGCGAGACACTTTCATCATTGGTCTTGTTGAGCGTCGGTGTTGAGCTTCAGTAGTTCATGGAAAAATATAACGTAAGAAAAGTAGCCTGGAACAGGCATAAAAAAATCTAAGAGGGGAGAGTAGGTGAGAAAAGAAAGAGCCTCAAATGTCTAGCCGTTGCTGACAAACTCATCATGGGCTATATGATGATGAAAATGCAGGAACTGAAGAGAAAAATGAGGGAAAAACTGGAAAGAAAACAAGAAAAGAAAACAGAATAAAAGCGGGAATAAAAAGTGAAAGAAAAGGAGATAAAAATGAAGGGAGAAAAAGGTAAGAAAAGAGAGGGAAAAAAAAGGGCAAAACAGAAGGAAAAGCGAAAAGGAAAACAGAAAAAACAAAAGAAAAAAGAAACGGAGCCTCAGATGTCCCAGCCGTTTGGCCGACATATTCATCACGGGCAGCAGTGAAGGAAATGCAAAACCGCAGGGGCAGAAAAGGGAAATAGAAAAGAAAATAAGAAGCAAGATAGAAAAGCAAGGCAAAAGAGAAGCGGAAAAAACCAGAAAGAAAAGAAAGAAAGAAGGAAGTAAGCCTCAGAAGTCTGTCAGCCTCTTGACTAACATATATGTCACAGGCCAAATAAGGGGAAAGGCAAAAACCGGAGGTGTGTGAAAGGAAAAGACAAGACAAGAAAACGGTTGGAAAAGACAGGAAAAAAGGCTGAAAAGGAGAGGAAAGAAAACAAAAGAAGTAGAAAGAAAAGAGGGTCTCAGAAGTCTAGTCAGTGGCAGACATTCTCATCATCGACCAGAGAAAAGAAAAACTGAAAAACAGCAGGGGAAAAAAGGACCACCCCAGCAACATCCATCGCCAAATCCAGATGCAGAAGACTGAGAAAAAAGACTCCTCTGTTCCAGGAGAAGCCCTCAGGATAGACAGATTGTTGCGTTTGCAGAGCAGAATGTCGTGTCATCATTGGGCCAGAAGGCAGGTAAAGGAACACCCCCAACAACACCCCGACTGACAACACCAACTGAATAGGGGCAGATAGAGTGAAACCCCAACCGACAACACCAACTGCCAACAGGGGCCCGAATGAAAAGAAACACCCCAACAACAACCGACAAAAAAGAAAAAGAAACACCAAGCCCAACTGGCAACAACAACGGGGAAATAGAGAAAGAAAAGCAACACCGCAACAACTCTCGGGGAAGGGGGAATGGGAAGAGAAAGAAAAACACCCCAACAAACCTTGACAGGCGCGAGACAGATCTCGGAAAGCCAGCCGACATCGTCAAGCAAGCGATTTCGTCCTCAGTCTTAACCTCCGCGCTAGTGATAGGCCCGAGACGCAAAACACCATGCATGTGGCGATCTTGATGGTGTTGTCCACCCATTGACCACCAGCCAACAGACGAGAGTCCATCCGGGGTGAAGATCTTCCAACCCGTCTGATACACACTGTACTGCGCTCGCAAGGTCGAGGGAAAACCGAGTTTCGAAATGATCTCCGAGTTCAACGCTCCCTCAAGCGAACCAGAGAGTGCTCCGGCGAACGAACTTGATGATGCCCCCGAGCGCGTGCCTGATTGCCACCCAGTTAGGCTCCTTGATCGCGTCTCAGTATGAGAACACAACAAGCCTTTCCACGCACACAGTCGTTTCCTCGCGCCGGCAAAGCGCTACAGAACGATGGGTGAAAATCTGCCCTCAGCACGTGCAACAGTACTCCCCCGCGTCTGCAAAGGAGCTTGCCCACCTCATATCATGAGGGCAGAAAGAAATGGAAATGTGGGCTCCAGGGACCCAGGAGGATGACCTACGCGGGGCGAAGCGAGCCCGACAACGAACCCACGTCCTCAGCCACCCCCCCTCAAAGAAAACAACTCCGAAAACCTGGTACAGTAACCCGAGTTGCGGCCAGGAAGGGAAAGCCCATGCGTCGGGTGTACCGTCCTGGCTTCCCCTTGGCCCTCAGAAACAGGGCTGTCAATGCCGTGCCAAGAGCAAAGACAGGGGTCCTGTTGTGCCATCATTGGGCCGGTGGGTGGTGATGGCGATGGTTGGGAAGGGGATGGGGGAAGAGAGGCAATGCTGGCTACCGGTGGTGAGAAAAGGGGTGGGAACATGAAGGGGATGAAGAAAAGATAGGAAAAGTGTGATCGAGGAAGGATGGACGGGAAAGGAAGGGTCGGTGGCAGCGATGTCAAAGAGCCGGCTGTGTGGTTGGAAGCACAATGCTCAGGGGCTTGGCAGCAAAGACAGCTCGCTGAGCAAGAGCTGCGTCAACTGCCGAAAAGCCATGGCCGCACAAGCAGGTGGTTTTGAACCTTGGGGAAGATGAATGAAGGAGGATAAACGAAGCTGGGTAAGCGAATAAGGACGAACAGAGGAGGAGTGTCGAGAGGACAACGGGAGAGTGTTGCAAAGCTGAAGAGGAGATGTTGTGAAATTGTGACCCTGATAGTGCAAAACCAGACGAGTCAGCAAATGAAAAGCAACGTGGTGAAGTGAAAGAGATGACATACCAATTGCAAAAGAGTAGGCAGTCGATGACCTAGTCGTTTCTGCAGCTAACCGGAAACAATGTCAGTAATGTGGACAGAATACTCCAGAAGGAAAGGGTGATGTGGATGGTGAAGGCCAAATCAGATCTGTACTCTGTAGTCCCATTTTTAACAATATTTGAGTCGAATCAATTCGTTGTGTCATCATACCCATTGGGCTGGGGAAGAAGTGGAATAGAGGGAATGAACATACCAATAGCAGCCGAACGGGCTTGATTGAAAGAAGGTTGATGGCAAGTGAAGGAGCCAAGGGGCATGCCGTGGTGAGGTATCAAACCAGTGTCCAGGTTGCCGCGGCAGTTCGAAGATGAGGTGGGCTCTTGGCTGTGAATAGACTGACGACCTTGAAGAGAACAAATGGTTAGCACATTGTACCATAAAAATGCAGAGATGTGAAAGGCAAGGAATGAGGAAAGGCAAATTAGATTAATGCCAAGAGGTGGCTTTCATTGTCATTCAAGCACAGCATTGTCATCATGCGCCATTGGAGGGGGATGAGGTGTCAAATGAAGAGTGTACATACCGCTTGTGAACATGGCCAGTGGCCTAGAATCAGCAAAAAGAAGAAGTTGAACTGTGAAGCCCTGGAAACACCGTTGACGACAGGAGGTTGGGGCCGAGAACATGTCGGGTTGATCAAGCTGGCATATGCCTTGATGGACCTGATATGCACATGAAGTCAGCGACCGCAAGGAATCCCGGAAAATATAAGTGTCAATGGAAAAATACCTGTCAGATCGACGAGTCGAGTATCTTCTTTCTTTTTTTCATAAGTGGAATCAAAAATGGGAAGAAGGATCATCATGTGGGTTGTGTGCTTGGGAGATGTCAAGACGTACCAAGAAGAGGCTCCAGTCCGCTGGAAGGAAGATGGTACACCGGCTTGATCTAGTCATCGAATGTCAATAGTTAGCGATGTCCGCGAATCTGAAGTGGATCAAGAGAAACAAAAGAAGGATATGAGGGCAGTGTCAGAACAACAACACGTTGATTCTCATTGGAAATCAAGTAATCGAGCTTGGGTATAATCATGGAAGCCTGGAGGAGAATGGGGGGAAAATGACGAGGGGAATACGTACCAGCCAAATAGGTGACACAGAGCGCAACGGCTGATGTGGGCAAAATGCGCTGTCGGACTCGAGTAGATGTCTAGAGGTAGGTAATGGTGATTGGTGAAGAAGACGGAGAAGAAGACGAAGAAGAAGACGAAAAAGAAGACAAAGAAGAAGACGAAGAAGAAGAAGAAGAAGAAGAAGAAGAAGACGAAAAAGAGAAAGGGGAAAATGAAGAATAGGTAGATGAAAAAGAGGAACAAGAGGAAGAAGCCCGATCATAAGTAGATCGGCTTGGTGGAATAAGCTTGAGGAGGAAGATGGAAAAAGACGAAACTGGAAGAGATGAGAAGACGAAGGTAAAGAAGAATAGAGGCAGAAGAAGTAAAGAAGACGAGTGTTGTGAGGTTGAGGGAATCAAAAGGTAAAAGCAGGAAAAGATGAGAAGGCTGAGGGCAACGGTCAGAAAAGGTAGAAGAAGAGAATAGTGCGGGGTAATGTGTGAAATAATATTGACAGTGTGTGGTTTGTGCGCGACTCGAAGGGAAGAGTGGAAGGAACGATTCCATAGAACAGCATCGAAGTCAGTCGCCTGAGGCTTCAAAGTGCGTCATCAGGGTAAGAACGTGCCAGAACGCGTCAAACTGGTGCCTGAAGCACATCCGACTCGAAGGTTCGACCTGTGAGGAAAGTATTGGAGGGCGTGCGTCGACTGCTTGGTAACCCAAGATGAAGAAGAGGGTTGATTTGCGGCTACTGAGTCGACCTGAAGGACTTTGAAGTCGAGTAGATGTGAGGATTTGATAGAGAAGGGTATATTGGTGGTCGATAGAGTGACAGTAGTAGTAATAGATGATGGGAAAGATGAGAAGATAGGCAATGATGTGGAAAAAGAAAGGGCAGAGAGGAGAAGAAATGGCAGAGAGGGCAGAGAGAGAGGAGAAGTGCGAGGGCAGAGATGATATGGAAGTAGTGATTGTGGGAGAAAGACTGACAGGCTGGTCGGTGACGAGCACAGCACACCTTGATGGCTACTCTGGGCGGTGAAAATTGGCGAGATGCCACAGGACATCCTGAGAGACTTCTAGGTTGATGGGGAGATTGAGGGTTCCCTTCGAATGATAGGAGTCGAGTAAGCAGCTCATCGGCTCCCTGACGATGAGTGAAGCCTGGTAACGAAGCTGGAGCTGAAAAAAGTCGGAATATCAAGAGATAACGAGGATGATGATGAGAAGAAGTCAACGAGGGCAAGGTGGTGGAGGACATGAGAGTCGCTCTGAACAAGCAGTCGTTGATACAGTGCGGATAAACAAAAGGGGGCACTCGGGCCATGTCAACAATCATCACCTTTGAGCAAGGAAGGGGCAATTGATATTGATGGTGAAGTCTCTGCAACTGGCGTTGTTGAGGCCCTATGTCGTCATCAAGTTGAATATTGGTTATCCACACTCCAAGATATTCCTGCGGTGGTCTTGTCTGTTGCGTTATTATCAAGAGCCGGGGACCTACATATGGTAAATGCTTCAATGTGCAAGTTTTGATACTTACAGTGTGTCCGTCTGGTGAATATCAATACCCGGCATCTTAAAGCTGGCCGGGACTGAACTGCATGCTGAACTACAGACCACAGCACGTCGTAGACGGTAGACAACGCCACAGAACTACCATATTTACCGGAAACCACGTCACATATCATTAATTCAGAGATTACCCTGCAGGCATGCATTGACACTCTGGATTAGAAGCCTACACAGACAACCATTCAGTTGTAGGACAACGCCTGCGGATCACCACGGGGAGTAGCAGGTGCTTTGAAAGGAAAAGTTGATAAAGGAACCACTGCGTACCCCTTGCCCCTGAAGTCAGAGTTCCCGGCGACGGACAGCTCGGCGTTTGCCCTGAATCGGCCGGGGAACCAGCCGACCGAAAGTAAACAAAGACCGGAGCCTCTGAGCACTGACCGGACCGGAGACCAGACGTTGACATTGAACCCAGAAGTGATCCAACCCCGGCTCCATCAGAACATGGTGGATGCCGGTTATTTTACACAAAAATAACCGCATGCTACCTGTGATCCACCGGGGCAGCCCGCCAATGCCAAGACCTACAAGCGAAGAGGGGGCCGGGAATGGATTTCGTCACCCAAGAAATGCAGTCTCATTCACCTTCAATCCCGATATTGAAAGCTGCTCACGCGCATCTCAAAATCATCCATCTTGCAGGAGAAGTTCCTGCAGGTTCTCTTGCGCCATGATGCAGAATGCAGACATACTGGGGGCAGGCAGTGGGGGCCAAGGTGAGCAGCCACACTCCGACGGGGAGCCAGTCCTGCCCACCACCATCCCACCTGGGCTTGAACTCCTCAACTCAGCTGCCAAACAAATCCCAGTGCAGGGGTGTGATGAATATTTCATCTATTCCATCCTCGGGAGCCGCTTACCTTGCCTTCCTTTTTCTAGGGGTGTGGTGGTGTGGGCGCACAGCAGCCATCCCACAGCGACCAGGACCCTGGGCGGGTAAGCCAATATTTCAACGTGTCTTTTTCCCCCTTCACGATCTCTCCCATCTCATCAGGACAACACCTCTTGATTTTCCAGCAAAACAATAATAACAGAACAAACTTCACAAATCACAGGCCAAAAGCGGTGACAGGCGCAAAAGAAATCCCCACTCAGGCTTCACCGCATACCCACTTGGTAGGCCACAACTGGGACCAACTGGAACCACTACAGAGACCACACTTCAGCACTGCATCTGGCGCTTGTCCAGGATTAGCTGGCCTGGGTGGGTCAACCCCTCCAATTTTCTTGCCAGTCACCTCACTTTTGACCATCGTGAGCGCCACTTTCACGAGGGGTTTGTCTCTCTCATTATCATTTTCCTTTTGGGCTGGATGTGAGAAGACGCGAACCCGCTGGTCGGACAGTTGCACATTTTCTTTAGAGCGGGAGAAGGGCAGAAGGACACACACGACGGTATCAATCTGGTCCCATCTACGGCAGTTGAAAGGATTTTCAAAGGACGCCATCAACCACACCGCCCCGGACGCTGCTGCATACAATACATCATTCAAGACCACAGCCATACCATGCCCCCGCAACAAAGGTGACATTCAGGTATCTAAGCGCTAGGACAAGAGTAATTCCCCGAGAACCCAACTTCTTTTATATAGACAAAAACCAGGTATGTCTCACCCCTCTCCCCCTGTATTTACTTGACCATTTTCAAACAAATCTCTAACATCCTTTTAGAGACATCGTTTTTTCCTGAAAGCAAGGACAAAAGCAGACACGCGATGCCCAACCTCTCACCCCCAAACACCCTCCCCCTCGCTCAGCTCCTCACCACCTTCCTCTCCTCCCTCACCGACCTCTACCACACGCTCCTCGCCTCCCTCCAAAAGCGCTTCAATCCCCACGCCGCCCTCGCCGGAGATGAGGATCACCTCCTAAACGGCATCTGGTTCTTTCTTTTGTTATTGGAGGCCCTGATCGTGCTCGGGGTGCTGTTGCAGGCTGTCGTAAGAGGATTGAAGTGGAGGATCAAAAGGAGGAAGGCGATGGTGATGAGCCGGCCAGGGAGTTCATATCAGTGGGAGGGGCGGGGTGGTAGTGGGCAGGGGTGGATGGTGCCGTCTACGCCGTCGAGGGAGAAGGGTTTTGTGAGGAGGGATAGTAATGCTAGGTGGGAGCAGGATGGGTGGTGGCAAGAGGGGGAAGGGCACGGGCTTGAGAGGGATTATGGTGTTGGCGGGCACGACAAGGGGTATTGAGGGATGGGAAGTGGATGACGAAGTTATGAGTGATGGACATTTGATACCACTATGATGGAATGTGACTTTGGGGGGCAAGCATTGTGGCGTTTTGGGCGGGCGAAGATTTGATGCATTTTAGCGGCGCTTCTGGGATTGTTTTTAGAAAAAGCTTTGCATAGCTAGCACTTTGATTTTGGAATCAATATCGGTTCAAATTCAGGCATACATGTCCCACAGATTGGTGTTGCTTGACAGTGCGCAAGTCTGGGTCAAGGTTGGTCTGCTTGATACCCAAGGTGCGAGGTGGCGTTTATACAGGCCATTTTTGAGTTGTAACCTCTGCATGTGTGATCGCTAAGCCGCCTATCACATGCACCTGAGTGAAACCTACGACCGAAAGGGGTTTCAAAGGACGGGTCATGCACATGTAGTGCGACGACGGACCTCCGGGCAGCTTCGCGACTCAGGTACGTGCTATCCGGGCATCAAGCTTGCATGTGGCCTTTTCCCACGTCCACCAGGATGCTCTTCTCGCTTCCCGATTGTGAACACCATAAACACAGGTCTTGAGCATCATGACCCTTACCGCCCCCAAGCCAGACAACCACTCCGGCACCGAAGGCAAGTCCACTTCGGCCACCCAACACCGCGATTACAGCTCCCTCCCCGACGTCACAACCCACGACCGCACCTCCTTCCCCTACATCCTTTCCAAGAATGTATCCGTCCCCGTGTCCGGCCTGGCCACTGGCCCCGGCCTGATTCGGTGCAACATCTACCGCCCTCACAACTCCGACACGAACCCCGTCCCGGTGTTGGTAACCTACGGCCCATACGGGAAGGATATTTCCTATAGCGAGTGAGTTGCCCCGCACCAGCGATGGTCATATCGATTGTGATTCCCTATCGGGAAAAAACCACCTGGTATTGTTTCGCTTCGTCAGAGGTGGGATAAAACCCGGTCCGGGCCATGACCAAGTTCATCCAGGCATGATTCTCGGCTAACCACCCGTACTATCTACAGGTTCAACCCCAAATCCTTCTCCGAAGTCAACCCAGCCCACAAATCCGTTCACTCTTGCTGGGTAAGCCTTCTCCCATCCCCCCTCCCCCCTGCCGCCCTTCCTTGATCCCAGCCCCTGATTCACAAACCTCCTTTCCCCAGGAAACCCCCGACCCCTCATTCTGGACCGCCCACTCCTACGCCCTCCTCCGCGCGGACGAGCTCGGAACAGGGCAGTCCCCCGGCTTTCTGGATACAATGTCCCGCTCCACCTCGGAAGCCTTCGTCACCCTGATAACCTGGGCCTCGTCCCAGCCCTGGTCCACGGGAAAGGTAGGCTTGCTAGGCGTGTCTTACTACGCCGGCTCCCAATGGCGAGTAGCTGCCCGCCAACCGACAGGTTTAGCAGCCATTATCCCGTGGGAGGGAATGAGCGATTACTACCGTGACCGGTGCCGGCACGGGGGGATATACAGTGATGGGTTTGTCAGGTGGTGGTGGGAGAGGCAGGTTGTTGGTAACCAGTACGGACTCGCGAACAGAAGGGGGGGGAAGACGGCGGATGAAAATGGGGAGAAGGAAAAGGGGGAGTTGGAGAGGGAGAGGAGGGATCAGACGGTTGATAACCGAGAGAACAGGTACCGGGATGAGGGGTACTATCGGGAAAAGGAGTACGATATGGGGGATATTACCGTCCCGGTTTTGAGCGTTGGAAACTGGGGTGGGATTTTGCTGCATTTGAGGGGGAACATACAGGGGTATCTACATGCGGGGAGCGAAAAGAAGTTTTTGAGGATGATCACCGGGAGGCATGACCTGCCGTTTTATTATGATGAGGAGGTGGAGGTGCAGAGGAGCTTTTTGGATGCGTTTCTCAAGGGGGAGGATGGAGGGGGTTGGACTGATGGGAGGAGGGCGAGGGTTGATTTGGTGATACGGAAAGGGGATGCGGGCGTTAATGATGCCCAGCGGGAGAGGGACACGTTTGAGAGGAGAGAGGAGGAGGAGTGGCCGATTGAGAGGACGGAGTATGCGAGGTTTTATCTTTCAGGGGACATGGCCATGACCAGAATGGACAACTGGGTTCACGAAGGGGGGCAAAAAAAGCTGGGATATCGGGCCTTGGGGACGATTGATGAATTTCAGGGGCTGACGTTCAAGACTGTCCCTTCTGACATGGGTCCAGGGCAAGAGATGGAGATTACAGGGCACATTGTCGCCCATCTCAACGTTTCTGTCTCCCCTGATGTGGGCGGACCAACGCCGTCGGATATCGACTTGTTCCTGACGCTTCGCCATATTGGCAAGGATGGCAAGGAGATCTTTTACACGGGCACGGCGGGCGATCCTGTGCCTTTGACCAAGGGGTGGCTCAGGGTATCACTGAGAAAGGTCAACGAGAAACACCCAAAGCATCAGCCGTGGCTGCCGCATCGGGATTACACCAGCAGGGATGTACTCCCCGTGATTCAAGGCGAGGTCTACGCTGTTGACGTGGAGATGTGGCCGACTTGCGTTGTTCTTCAAGAAGGGGAGAGCTTGGCTTTGGAGGTGGCGTCGGGGGATACCCAGGGGTCTGGGATATTCTTACACAATGATGCTGTGGACAGGTATGGATGTTTGGTTTTCTTGCGGGGCTTGATGACAGCTGATTGCTAATAAGCGGCAGATCTCCGGATATCTTCCAAGGCACAAATTACGTCCATATTTCGAAGCAGTATGCGAACTATCTGCTGTTGCCGGTAATACCCAGAAAAGAGGATGTAGGGCATGTTTGAGTAGGTACCCAGGCTCGTAGATAGTCAGTGAATCGATAATTGTGAAGCAAAAGCGGACCACCTTGCACCCGGAGGTCAATCAATGGCCGGCGTTTGATCCGTTTTATGCACTAACAGGGGGCCATATGCACTTGGGAACTTTATCCCAGCTCACGACGTCAACAGTGGAGCCAGCTTGACTGCCCGACCTCCTGACACATCTAGACTGCAACGAACTGAAGCATATCGAAGAGGGGGAGAGAGCTTCCCCACTCTTCGACGGCATTCCTGTTACACAACCACCGGTGCTGTGCCTGAGTTGAGGGGTTGATGCATTGGCACAAGGGCTGATCAATCGGGTAAAACAGGACCTTTGATGTCTCCCCTCCCGAGCTTCAGCTTCCCCCTCTTCCCAGCTCTGAGCTTGATGCTGCTGATGAGGCGATGAGCGAGGCTTCCAGGTGGATGCTTCATCAATGCTGTGGCCCCTCGGAGGATCTGGATGTCTTTTTCGTGACATGCCCTGACAGCTGGGATGAACCATGACCAGAGGTGAAGGCCATCCCCGCGGAGGCCAGCCCCACATTGCTGCGCCCCACCTGAACCACGGCTGGCTTTGTGTCGGGTGGGACGGGACCGGGCAGCTTCGAAGAGCTTCTCATCAGACAAAGGCTCGAAGAGGGGGAGCTGTTAACGGCCATGTCACTCGAGCCCCACAGCCAATGTTTGGGAGGGGATATCATCACAACAGACACTTGCAAAAACCGTGCAACTTCTCCCAATGTCTTTCCAAGCGCCTTCTCAATGCCGGATTGTGTTTCTTGTGTTTTGATCTCCAAGTGTGAGGTTGAAACTGGGCATGTCAGCAGTGGGTCTCTGGCCCTGCTACCCCGGATTTTCCCCAGATTCCTTTGAACCCCCCCCCCCCTGCTGACGGCTGTTAGCGTGCTGCAAGACGCTTGGGCCAGGTACCTTTCCTTGTTCGGACAGCGCTGGGGTGAGCCTGCTGTGTCGTTCCATGATGATGTACTCGTCACGCGATGCTGTGATTTGGCCAACGTGATCACTCGACTGACAATTACCCCGCCCGGTCTGACGAAACAGTCGAGCCAGGCACCATACGAGCGGCAGCAGATCACAGGACAGCTATATACCCCTTGATTTCCCCGCCTGAGCCTGCTCCCGTTCCTCCTCCTCCTCCTCTCTCCCTCTTCTTTCTTTGTCCTCATCGACATCATCCTGCAAAACAACCATCATCAGCAACCTACAAGGACAACATCAATCTTGTCCCTACCATCTCCAACAAGCCAGCTAGCTTATCAGCAACACCAAAACCACCATGTCCGGCGAACCACTCACCAAGGTCGACTCTGCCGTCCAGGGCCTCGGCACCTCCCCACCCAAGGAGACCAAGCACAGGAGAGCATCCTCCAGCGCTGCTGGTGTGATGAACATCAATGACCTGGGTAGGTTTCCCAATTTTTTTTTGTTTCTGCAAGCCCCTAGCTGACACCAATGGCAGAGGCCCAGGGCATTGAGCTCCAAATTGCAAAGGAGACGCAAAAGACGGGGTGGTAAGTGTTGGATCCTTGATGATCTTTGTTGATCAACCCCTCCTTTCCCCGCTTCCTCGGAGCTAACAGCCTCGTAGGAAGATCAACACCTCGCCAAGCACAATAGAGGAGAAGGACATGCTCAAGAAGCTGCTCACCACCCCCCCAGTCAAGAAGATTGACCTGCACTTCCCATTGGGACTCGAAGTAACGGCGAGGAACCTCAAGGGTGTCACCATCAAGGATGCGCTGGACGCTATCCACAAGCAATTCAAGAAGAGGGTATGTTGTTGACCTTTGTCCATCAGTTAGCTGTTTATCCCCGTAACTAACACGTCTCCCCTGCACCAGGCTGACGACGAGCTCGATGAACCATACCTCAAGGGCTTCGAGTGGGACAAGGAGGAGTCATGGACCAAGCTCATTGTCCATCTGTCCAAGGATGCCGGTGTAGCGCCCGGCGGCGGCTCCAAGAAGAAGAAGAAGCAGGCTGCTGACGAGTAATGAAGAGACACGCCCCCATAGCGCAGTTACTCTCCAACGACGCCGAGAGCATCCTGAAGGTTGCATCTCGAGACTGGGCTATTGCCGCAGACTGCACGCCGCGCACCCTGGGAAAGGGTGGCAGGCGACGGGCGATCTGAAACATTTGCCTTCTTGGTGTAGTTGGTGGCTATTAGCAGGCCATTGCTATTGTTTTGACTTGATGGTGGCCTTTTGCGGAAGGTGTACCCTTTTTTTTTGACAGGATGGCGAGGGAGGATCACCATGGGACCAGTCCATAGCCTGCTCGTCAATGAAACATGTCACCCAGTTGTTTTGTTCCTATTTGTAGTTGATATCTGTGTCTGATGCCTGTGGTAGTGATATCTGTGACTAGAATACTGTGATCTCGATTCAAGTCCGAGTCCTTCGACTGTGATGTCCTGCAACCTTAGCACTGGTGAGTGGTGGCTTTCCAAGACTCACCAAGCCAATGCCATGACTCCAATTGAGCGGTACCTGGATTATCCCCGATCAATGTCATCATATGGGCCGGAGATCTCGGGGTTTGGTGACGTGTGGTGGTGCGGTGGTGCGGTGGTGCGGGACATGTGCGGGGCTGGAGCTCTGGAAGCTGTCGAGAGTGGCCTGACCTGGCCTGAGCTGCTGAAGGTTTGGTGGTGTGGTGTCGGTGTTCATGCCACCAAAAATAGCAAAACCCCTGCCAAGAGATGAACCGTTTGCATATAGCTCCGGGATGTCGCAACCTTTTCTTCTCTTCATCACTATCACCCCCACACCTGTCTCGATGATGTCTTCTTGGAAGCACAATTGATGGTCGTCAATAGTGGGGACTTTGCTCACGCCGTTGGCAGCGGGTCCGATCCACTCCGCTGAGCAGGGGAGCACGGTCCACTTGTCACACAGAAGCCGAAAGGTCCACTGCGAACGGGTGGTTCGCTGTGCCGGTGACGGTTCGAGCGCATATTCTCGGCTAGGGACGGCTCCGAAACGGCTCTGACGACCGCGGAATTGAACTTGAAGCGTTCGTACCTGCCTTTTTGCTGTGTTCCGATCTGATCTACAGGCCGAACTTTGACGGGAGATGACGCGGTGGGTTTTGCGGCGGGGGAGGTATTAATGGGTGTGGTTCGCCCGGCTTTTTTTTTGGGGGGGGGGAAGGGTGAGGTTGTTTGGTTGTGTTTACTTGACCTAGAGTAAGGAATACCGTTTGTTGCTTGTTACGCGATTGATCAAGAGATATCGACACAATGCCAGTCACAAACTTCTCCATCCCGGAGAAGTACGAGTACCTGGTTGGGTTTGACTCTTATCACCAGTTTGTCTCTCCTTTGCTTCCCCTCATCTTTTGAGATTGGCTGACTGACTTGTGCGTCAACAGAAGCGAAGCCCACCCCTGCGCCCTCCCCCTCGCCCAAAACTCCCCCCAGAAACCACCTCTCGGCTTGTACGCCGAAAAGCTCTCGGGCACAGCCTTCACCGCGCCCCGGCATGAAAACAAGCAGACGTGGCTGTACCGCATCCTGCCTTCGTGCGCTCACCCGCCGTTCGAGCCGGTGACTGCCCACAACGAAGCGGTGGAGACGCAGCATGAGAAGAAGCATTACATCCCTAACCAACTCCGTTGGGACCCTTTTGACCATGACGAGCACGCCGAGCATGATTTTGTCGATGGGTTGAAACTGGTTGCCGGGGCGGGGGATCCAACGCTCAAGCAAGGGATTGGCATTTATGTCTATGCTTGCGGACGGGATATGAAGGAGAAGGAGGCGTATTATTCTGCTGATGGGGACTTGTTGTTGGTTCCGCAGGAGGGGGGGTTAGATGTTAGGACTGAGTTTGGGAGGATGCTGGTTAGGCCGATGGAGATTGCGGTTTTGCCTAGGGGGGTGAAGTACAGGGTCGAGATTGTGGGGGATGGCAAAAAGGCGAGGGGGTACGCGTTGGAGCTGTATCAGGGACATTTCCAACTTCCTGAGCTGGGACCGATTGGATCAAACGGTCTTGCGAATGCGAGGGACTTTCAGGCGCCCAAGGCGGACTTTGAGGAGGATTATGGTGCTACGGCGCAAGAGGGAAAGAATGAGTGGAGGATCAAGGTCAAGTTTAATAATGGGCTCTATGAGACGGTGCAGAGGCATAGTCCGTTTGATGTGGTGGCTTGGCATGGGAACTACTACCCTTTCAAGTATGACCTTGGGAGGTTTAATACCATTGGGACGATTAGCTATGATCATCCCGATCCGAGTATTTTCACCGTGTTGACGGCGCCGAGTGAGAAGGTGGGGACGGCGGTGGCGGACTTTGTGATTTTCCCGCCGAGGTGGTTGGTGGGGGAGGATACGTTTAGGCCGCCGTGGTATCATAGGAATACGATGAGCGAGTTTATGGGGTTGATTCAGGGGGGTTATGATGCGAAGAAGGGCGGGAAAGGGGGGTTTGTACCCGGGGGAGCGAGTTTGCATAATATTATGAGTGGGCATGGGCCGGATAGGGATAGTTATGAGGGGGCTAGGGAGGCTGAGCTGAAGCCGCAGAAGGTTGGGGAGGGGAGCTGCGCGTTTATGTTTGAGAGCTGTTTGATGGTGGGCGTGACGGAGTGGGGGTTGAGGAGGTGTAGGAAGGTGCAGGGGGGGTATAATAAGCATAGCTGGGAGGGGGTGGAGGTTCATTGGAAGGGGAGGAATAGCCAGTGAGTTGGGGAAGAGTAGAAGAGTGTAGAAGAGTGAAAAGCAGAAAGTGCTTCTTGATGTGTTTCATCCGTCTTTGAATCCTCTGCTAACCATGGTCCATGGTCAGACTGCCTGGCTTCGCTCCCGTCTTGCCCCTGTGCCAGCTGACTTGTCAGCTCTGGCCGCCTGGCTACTCAAGTCTGGTCCGCTGACTCCTCAATTCCGCTTCTTCCAGCAATTCCACACTGGGCATTTAACATTCATGAATCCTTGAGCGTACCAGATATTTGGCTCGGCTTTCCTGGTATTTCACTGATGAACAATTTGTCTCTTGCAGGAAAACCGTTGACGCCGTCACACTCCAGAATTGCACGAGGATCATGGTTTGAAGAAATAGAGGCGGGATCTTGGTTCCTGCTGATAATGTCGCTCATAAGCAGACTGATAACACAATACCCACGCGATCTGCCTTGGCTTCTGGATCTGACGATCGACGAGGCTGTCGAGGGCCTCCGGTCACGGCCTATTCACGACTCTGGGCCTCACCAGAGCGTGCCTGGCGAGAGTCGACGAAGCTGCCAAGTTCAAGGCTGTGTTGCAGATCAATCCGGATGCTCTATCGGTGGCCCAGGAACTAGACAATGAGCGGAGGCAATCGAGAAGCAGGGGCTAAGCTGAATCAGCAAATCGCCGGTTAGATTCCTCATCACTGACAATGTCTATCAGGTCCTCTCCACGGTATTCCGATTCTCGTCAAGGATAACATAGTTACGAGCGACAGATTGAACGTATCTGCTGGTTCGTTCGCTCTTTTGGGGGCGAAGCCCTCGGCCGAGTCCTCAGTCATCGGAAAACTGCGAGAGGCCGGAGTTTTGGATCCTAGGCAAGACGAACATGTCTGAGTGGGCCAACTTGAGAGGGTTAAATATCAGTTCTGGATGGAGCCCCCGGGGTGGCCAAACGTCGGCTGCATATTATTCCAATTCTACACCTGAGGGTAGCAGTTCTGGCTCAGCAGTTGCAGCTGCCCTAGGATTGTCGATGGCTGCCATTGGTACGGAGGTCAGTGACTCCTGTCCGTGCTAGTTATTGCATCAGAACCACTGACATTACCTACAGACGTTTGGCAGCATTCTGGAACCGGCCGAGCTCAACAACGTCATCGGACTGAAACCCAGCCGCGGCCTGATTGCGAAACGATGGAACTCTACCTACATCGGCGCGTCAGGACGTCATTGGAACGCTCACTAGAACAGTGAGCAACGCGGCGCACCTGCTTACAACGATGGCAGGTCGAAGCGAGAACGATGAGCGTACCTGGAATATCCCTTTTGCAGTCCCCGACTTCACCACCTATTGCAAAGACACGGATCTGAGTGGGATCACCATAGGTGTCCCGCGCAGCACCTTCACTGCCGACTCTACATCACCCATAACGATATCTTCGAGTCCGCGCTCGAGACCCTACACCGGGCTGGAGCAAAGGTGGTTGACAATGCCGACTTCCCGGATGTCGAGGAGTTCATGAAGCTCAACCAGCAGGTTCGTGGCATTGTACGGGCTTCAAAGTTCAAGAGAGATATAGTTCGATATCTTCAGACCCTCGAGGCCAACCCAAATCACATCCACTCTGCTGAGGACATCATCGGGTTCACAAAGTCTTTTGCGGGCGAGGAGCATCCAGACCGCGATATTGGAAAGTTTTTGTGGACCCAAGCTGAGGGAATCGACGTCAACACCGACAAGTACAGAGAGATGGTTAGCCAAGGGCAGTTCTACGGGGGCGAAGTGGGGATCCTCGGCGCGATGGAGAAACACGGTCTTGATCTCCTCACTGTCCCTCTTCAATGGGCATCGAAAACGACTTGGCTGCGAAGAGATGGGGTTCCCCGTACTTGAAGTGCCGTTGGGGTTGTATTCTGAGGGCACGCCGGTTGAACTGGACGAGAATTGGCCGAACCTGGTCAGGGTTGCGCCTGGGATTCCGTATGGCATCTACGCTGTCGCTGTTTGAAGTCATCAAGAGGTTGCTGACTTGTGTCTCTGCAGTTACTCATCGGCTCCGATCTCCAAGGCTTTCTCGGATAAGATCCTGATTCGAGTAGCCTATGCATTTAAGCAACCCAGTGGGGTGCGTCGGAACGGGCCATTGCCGTGGAAGGTGCCATCTACCGAGCCTGGGGATGTTTGAGTGATCAAGGGTCAAATGTTTGTTACCTAAGGTATTTTATCTTCAAAAGTCACGGTATTCTCTGGATGGATTGATACGGTAGTACTCTTCTCGTGAACCGCTCAAACCAAAGCAACGCTTTCAGCAGTCCCGGCGCCAGGCCGCCTCTGGTAGCTGCTTCCAAAACAGAAACGAACCCTCCTATGCTTTGCCAAACAGCCAGCTGTTCCGTTCAACCCCCTCCAAAACTGACACCCGGGAAATTTGACGTTTGTCTTCTTTTCTCCATCTATACCGACCATAAACACTACCGCCTGACTGACATGCCGTCTTCCTACCCAATAGCCATACTTCTTTCTCGAATGGCTCTCTGAATAGCCACAACCACGGCTTCCATTCTCACGGCTGCGACTCTCATCCCCCGAGTCTCCTACTACTCTCGGCTCCCACTCGCACTCTCCGTGCTCCCGTCACTTTTAGGCCAATCAGTGCGAGTCCCAAACTTACATTGAAGGATGAGGAGGGCATCTTCCCCATTTTCTTGATTCAGCCCCTGAAACTCCCATGGTCTTTGCACAAGTTTTTCCCAAAAGAAACCTGATATTCGAAAGCCAACTGTCGACAGGGGTCTTCCATGTTGAAGTGCACTTTGATCACCGTGATTGAGCAACACCTCAAAGGTACTGCGTGTGCCACCGATAGTCTGGACGACATCAAACATGGGAAAATAGGTCATACCATCTATCTATTATCATGAGCTGAACTGGTTGTCGATACCGCCCCGTCTCTGGTTAGTAAACAGACCCTTGAGAATACACCCCCTTTATATGCCGATCCATCACCACCACGGTCACATCACTAGTTACAACGACAGCCAGACCAAGCGGCTAAGGTAAGGTATTCAGGTCGCATATATTGTATTAAGGATCTCGCATTGGTCACCCGTCAATCGAAGCGATTTTCATGACGACTGCCACGTACCTAGGTGGATGTTGACGGTGATGTCACCAGGGGGTGTCCCACCGGGTACGTACTCAAATTACTGGGTGCTCAGCCAACTTGGTGAGTGGGAGCATCATCCATTGCCTCTTGCGCGTCTCCAGGCACTGGGAGACAATGTACAATATCGGCCTTATGCTCCAGTACCATATTGCCCTGCTGTGGTAGGTATAGGTGGGTATGTAGCAGGTTTGGTACGAGGGAAACCTTGATCTAGGAGCTCGAAAATGATACCATGTGGAACCTATCTTTCTTTGCTGGACCCCTACACCTGCCTTCGTTAGATATGAAACTCGAGCATTAAATCCATCCCTGACTCATACAATGGGCTCAATTAGCGCCTTTGGATGCCTCTCCTTCCCTCACAACACCGAACCTTGGAAGGGACAAAACTGACTTCTATCATCAAACCGGCAGTTGGCGCATGCGCTCTGAATTTGAACGAAACCGCGTGTCCATGACGATACGTTCTGTGAAAGGCCCGAAGCCTCCGCTGCAACGCGTGCATGGTGTCGGGGGCAACTTGCCCGCGGGTTTGCAACACCAGGGCCGTAACGTTGCTTGGTCTCTCCCAGTTGTAAACGACTTACCCATGAGAGTCTCTGACAACCATGGGCAATAAAAGCTGAGATAAATGGCATACAAGGGATCGATAGTGCACATCCAGACTATCATTTTGAGGGAAATCCAATGCTGATTCTGGAAGACATACTGCCAAAATCTGACAAAGGTTTCTTTCCTCGTTTCTACATTCACTCCCCTCCATCTTCCAATGACCTTAGGGGCATAAAGCGCCAACAGAAAATAAAACTTGAAAATAAAACGGGCAGCAAAAATGAATGTCGGGATTTTAGTACCAATCTGAATTGTATACTGCGGAATTATCTATTGCTAGCTAGTTCCTCCGTATGTTACGGAGAGGTAGGTATTCTGAGGCAAGGCTACAGTAGGTCTGACCAAATTGATTGAATTGTAAGCTAAAGAAGAAAAGAAGAATGTAAATAAAGGTCTGGCTACGAGTGGGCCTTTTGTAGTGGCTGCTAGCCATGACCTGTAAATGCTTTCCTAATCGGGCCTAGTGCCTTTCCTTATCTTATCTCTCCATAACGCTGAGCCCCACATGGCGAAGATCCACACTTCCTCTTCCGGTGCAAGACATGGACGGCGTACCGAGCAGAGATGCTCCAGTGCACAACCACCCACAGAGGCAATATTTCCTTCTATCTAGGAGGGAAATCGCCGTCGGATAAAGAAGACTGGACTCCGAACGTCGAGGCCGTTCGGGCAACGATTCGGTTCGCAATGACCACGGGCCGACTCGACGCGAACCAACCGCAGCAGGCCAACTAAAATACCTAACCGGCCAACCACCACTTTCCACCGACCCTACACCTATCACCTCGTGCCACGGACAGATGGCACCGCTTCAGCCGCCGAAGATAGGACGTTGAACACTTGAGGAACCGACTTCAAGCCAGCCTACTAACAATCGTACTCACCCACGAGAATCCGTAGAGAAGTGGTAAAACAGAGGGCATAAGCTGAATGGACTTTGCCTGAGCTTTAGGGAGATCAGGGCATATTTTGTGGAATGTATGCTTCAATCAGTAGTAGTTGCCCTTTCGGTTTAGCCGCCGGGCGTTAATATATTGATTGATTGATTGATTGATTGATTCATAAGTCAGGTGCCAGCTGTCACAGTGCCGACCAAGGACTACGTAAGGTTTCTTGTTATTGAACGAAGGAGAGAGAAAGACGAGCGGAGTGTAACGAACCCCTGATCAGAACCTCTGAAAGGGATACACAATTGAAGGCGACTTCTGAGTAATGGTTCGGTGCAGCTAAACAGTGCACAACAAGATTGTCTGAATGTAAACACAAGCTTCCGTGAATACAAATTGTCATTGCATACTGCGGAACTATCTACAAACTATCTAGTTCCTCCGTATATATAGACCTCCTGCTAAGACTCCCATCATCCTGGATCGAGACCCATACTCCTGGATCCAGTATCCTTTCCCCTGGATCGATGCCATCCTTCATCGATCCATATCTGATTGGATAATCCCTATTGGCTCTCCGCTCCCTAGGACCCATATTTATTTCCTGGGTCGTGACATGTTGTTATATAGTTTACTATTAAAAACGGCGTTCTGGTTAAAACGACCTTTAACGAAGGAACAGTAAAATAGCTGTCGATAGGAAGTACCACTCTTTCAACCATCGCAAGCCCCTCTATAGATGGCCCAGTACGACCCTTCTAGGCCGGCAGATACTGGACGGGAACCGAGTAGCCTTTAGTACGTTAATCTAAGTTTAATGGTCGAAATGAAGCCTGTTATCCGCTGGAGAAATGCGGAATAAGGTTCGGGCCTCTCAAAGGCGCAGGGACGCCATGCTTGGGATGCGGATCAGCCAGACTTGCAGGCCCCGCCCCTAAATGAAACCCTCGTAAAGGATAAAGTGGAAGGAATGAGGGCATTCCTACATGGAAGAATCACACCTACGGTAAGAACCCGAGGCCTACGGCCCGGGGCACTTAAGCCTCTCATTTATGACAGCCGTTAAGGATCAACAACCGGTATTTGCCCTTTGTACGAGATGTTGTGTGGAAATCGAAGTGCCGAATCCAATCCATGCCTTTCTCATTGGTAGTCCATCTATTTTCGGTTGTTGCAATACGCCAGGTGGCTGGTAAGTTGCACTTTTGATACCAGTTGGCAAGGCGATATTTGTGAGGGCAGCGTATCACACAAGGCAAGGTGTCACAACCCAAGTGATAATTGTGGGTCCTGGGAGGTTGAGAGCCAATAGGGCTCGAAGACGCCCCCGTCCTGTCGTGTGAAACAGGCCAATCAGGATGAAGAAAGGATCGTTGGCAGAGAATAGCGATCCAGCACAGGATCGTGGAATCTTGGCTACGAGCCGAGGAGGGCCATAATCTATATATACGGAGGAACTGGCCAGTGTAGATAGTTCCGCAGTAAGCAATACAAGCTCAAGTTATTAAAACCGAGACAATTGTTCCATCTTGTTGTGTACCTCTTGCCTACACCGAACCGTTATTCAGAAGCAGCCTTCAACCCAGTAAACCTCTCAGAGGTTGTGATCAAAGGCTCGTCACACTTAAGGCTTAACGTCTCGTTTAATTGTATAGAAAGTGAAAAAGCAGCCTACCCTGCTGGACGGGGGGCTGTGACGAACCCCTACTCAGAACCTCTGAATGGGATTCATAGTTGAATGCAACTTCTGAATGATGGTTTGGTGCTGCTAAGAAGGGCCCAACAAGTAGTCTCAATGTAAACACAAGATGCCGTGAATATGTTGCCATTGAGTACTGCGAAACTATCTACAAGCCGTCTAGTTTCTCCGTATATATAAACCATGGGTCTTTCTGAATCGTTGCCAAGCCGTAATGAACCAGTACCAGGATCGATGGATCATTGTGATGATCCCACGATCCTATTAATGTCATTTACGTAATTTCTCAGTACTCGCCTTTTATAGTTTGTTAGTAAACTCCCATAATTGACATTAATAACAGCAAAGAGGGTGGGGTGCCACTTGTTATTGCGACATCCCATAAGCGAGTCCGAAAACGGCAAAACATTTTCCTCGACTGGAAAGAACAAAACCTTCACCGATGAAATCTCTTGATCCTGTACGTATTAAGTAAGTTACAACAACGGCAGTAACTTTCTCTTCTCATTCAGAAATCTCTTTCCCTTATCATCACAGTCAGATCTTGACTCGATTGCACCCGCCACCAACACCAACACATCATTCCTCGCCCCCCGGCCCTCAACCAAAATGGACACCCGGGTCAAGACCAAGTTCCTCATCCTCTCTGACACCGACTGCTGCAAACCCACAAAGCACACCATCCCAGACGTACCCATTGACATCGCCATCCACTGCGGCGACCTCACCGAGAATTCTCGACTCGCCGAACTCACCCACGCCCTCTCCCTCCTCCGCACCACCAACGCCCCCCCTCAAGCTTTTTATCGCCGGCAACCACGACTTCACCCTCGACCCCCTAGCCTTCCTCCCCAAGACCACCTCCAGCCAAGGCGTTTTCCAAGCCCCCGCCGGAGCAGCCACCTCCCTCCTTGAATCCGCCTCCTCAGAAAACATTATTTTTCTTGACGAAGGCACTCGTACTCTTGCCCTCGCAAACGGCGCCCTGCTGACGGTGTATGCAAGCCCTTACTCCCCCTCAAGGGACAACTCCATGGCGCTCACTCACAACCGGAAGAAAGGTCATACATTCAAGATCCCGAAGGAGGTGGATGTGGTGATCACCCACTCCCCACCGCGTGGCATCCTCGGTAAAGACTCCAACAGCAAGCAAGCCGGATGCGACTGCATCTACGATGCCATCGCGACAGCTAGACCAAAGCTGCATTGTTTTGGGCATATACATGAGGGTTGGGGGGGCTGAGGTCATTTCCTGGACTGGGGACAAGTCACCGGTCAAGATTGAAAGTTTATCTACTTTACTTCCAACCAACAACGACCTGCTAGCCGTTACCAAAGAATAGAAATAAAGAAAAAGGAGGGACGGCTGAGAGAGTTGAGGGATAAGGGGTCGAGACGAGGTACTGTCGTGGTGATGAGCATGAGATTGTGCGGGGGAGGAACACCCTTTTTGTGAACGCGACGGTCATGCCTTATGGGGAAGGGAGGGAGAGGCAGTTGCCTTGGGTGGTGGAGATGGAGTTGCCTGCTGCTGCGGAGGGGGGCGAAGGAGGTGAGGAGATCTAGGAGAGCAGTGAGGAACATGCGGAGGACGAGATAGGGTTTGTTGAGGTGGGCTTGGAAGGGCTGGAGGCGAACACCTCTCAGACGATGGCCGGTTTAAGCGACATGACGGCTCAGCTGTCCATCATATCGGCAGCTTGATTCTCAGTTTTCTGGTTATTTCAAGAGCGGTATATCGATAGGTTTCCCTTGTGGTTTATTGGGTGGGTAGACGGTGTCCTATTCCAGATATATCAAATAATCCCATTGGTTCTCCCAGGCACACATGCATCGGCCGCCGCTCGTGCGTCGGGACCGAGATGCACAAGTGAAACACTGGTCCGCGTAAGCTTCCTTCCCAAACTTTCATCATCCCTACCACACCTAACCCATCTGTTAGTTAAACTTCGGGACCGTCCCCCCCACCAACGGCCGTTCTCAACCGTCCACCCGTTCCTGTCCGTAGTTCCTGAACTGAGACCCACCCAAACGCCAGCGGACCATTCAAGAATGGATTGATCAGCTTGAAAAAATGCCGGCATCGGTCACTTCTCCCAACCGCCGCCCGAACCCGTTGCCCCAGTAGCTATTGCATCTCACAACATGATACCATGCCGAGTTATTCGTCAGCACCACTCCGCGTAATACATGCTTGTCTCGGCGATTGATATAACACAACCTTGCATATCTTGATCTTGTTATTTCTTGAGACCTCTACCTTGCCCCCTTCCAGCCCCTTAAACCCCTCGTGAACTTTTGTGGACTACTTCTTTTTCTGTCCCACCCCTCCATCCATCCTCCACAATGTCAAGGATACCAGCCGTGAATGCAAAACCAAACCCCCTCGTCCTCAGCAGTCTCCTGCTAGGGATAGCCTCCACCGCCTCCGCCCAAAATTACTATGGCTCTTCCGGCAACCCTTATAGCAGCGGCGGCAGCTCCAACGGTGATGGCTCATCTTCCTCCGGGTTCAACAACTTCAACGCCGGGGCTGGCTTCGACATAAACGCTGCCATGCGCACCCGCGCTATTCACGGTATTCTCGCTGCTTTGGCCATGGCGATCTTGTTTCCTTCCGGCTCGATCCTTATGCGTGTTATACCAGGCCGGTTCGCAATCTGGGCGCACGGAATCTCGCAGGCTGTTGCGCTGGTGGTGTATATCGCTGCTGTCGGACTGGGTCTTCATCTTGTGAGGGAGGTCAGTAGGGCGAGGGGGAACAATGGTGACATGGTTTGTCCTCCCGTCACTTTGGTCTGACTGTTTGAACGCGGCTAACAAAAGAACAGTTCTCCGATCCGAACAGAAGCTACCACCCCATCATTGGCATCGTCGTGTTGGTCTGCCTGCTCTTGCAGCCAATCTTCGGGTTCATCCACCACGCCAAGTTCAAGAGACTCCAAACGAGGCAGATGTGGTCGTACCTCCACTTGTTCAACGGTCGTGTCTTCATCACGCTCGGTATGGCGAACGGTGGGCTCGGGCTGTGGATGGCGGGCGCGAGCAAGGAGCTCAAGACGGCGTATGTCGCTGTGGCGGCCGTGATGTGGGTTCTCTGGATGTTGGCGGCTGCGTATGGAGAGTGGAAGAGGTGGAAGGCGAACCGTCTGGGATATCCGCCGAGGAATAAGAAATTCCATGACGGCGAAGTTCCGTTCTAAGATTGCGCTTGGTAGGAACATGTCTGTTGGATTGGAGGTATGCTGAGACGGATGTAAACGGCGCATGTAGAGGTTTTGGATCTGTTGAGAATTGAGATACCATGCTTTTTTTGTCGATTGAGATAAAGTCTGGAGGTAACAATGAATAATTCAAAAGGCGTTGATTCAATTGGGCACTTGTACGTTGACGTCCAAGCCGTTCAACCGCATGTACTCCAGCTTGGCCGCTAGTTCGGCCTCGACACCCCGCCATGTCCTCCCTTTGAGGTGCCGGAGACACAGATGCTTCCCTTCGTCCGGGTAATACAGCCAACAAGCCCACTTGTTCCATTTTCCTTGCTTCATCTCGTCCCTTGCCAGATGACCGACGGTGTCCTCGATGAAGGCGCCCCTCTGGATGGCGATTCGGCTGTAAAAAACTTGGTTGAGGTAGTGGCTGGTGGAGGCTAGGTGTGGCTTGTCGTGCCAGAGAAACAGAGGCGTGAGAGGAACCCTCGAGGTGACGGCTGTCCCGTCCTCCAACTCCGACTGAACGGTAAAGTTTTGTTTGTGAAGCTGGGTCAACGCGCGAAGAGCAGGGTAGAGCATGACGTGGTCTGAGGTGGCGTACTCCATCATCCGTATCGACGGGAAGCAGACATATTCAACCGGAGGTCGAACAGCTTCCGGCAATATTTCGTTATTCTCTTTGTCCTGCTCTGCTGAAGGCGGGGCCTTGTGCTGCTGCATGATCTGCAACAGCGGCCCAAGAGGAATGTCCGTCACCAGCGCCCAGTCATGCTGCTGAATCCAGACATACGGCGTAACCGTCATCCTCAACGCCGACCGAACCGCCAGCCCAAATCCCAACCGCTGCACCGGCTCAACAAACGTGACACGCCCGTCTTTGGTCGTCGTGATGTTCATCACCACCGCATTGTCCTGCGACGCATAAGCTGCCGCCCCGGACCCAAACTCGGCCTTCTCCTGCGCCTTGAACAAATCGCCAGTGCCGTAAGGCCGTTCGGTAGAGGAGTACTCCTTGAGAATGAGCCTCTTGGCGTTGGCCTTATAGTCGGCATACTTTGCCGCGCTGTCGGGTGTGACATGGCCCTTTTTCAGTCGCGGCTTCTTACTGACGTGATCGTAGGTGTCGAGGACGACAATGACACGGCAGTGAATGAGAGAGGCGCAGTGCTTTCTGAAAGAGGCGGCAATCTGCTCCAAGAGCTCGGTGGATGGCGCAGAAGGCGTGGGAGAGGTTGTGATGATGACTGTGACCAGCTCTTCCGGGGCTGGTCTTGCGGGAGATGCCATCGTCATCGAGTGACGAGAATGGCAGGTGTTACCTCAGGGAGAAGGCCATGGGTCATCAATGACAGCGCTGCTGTGATTTGGTGCCGTGGAGTTGATTTCTTTGAAAATTGAAACCGAGCATGAGTGGCCAGGCGTCGTTGGACCGGACCCACACAGTGCGTTGCTGGCTCCAACTGTTGCCTGTCACTGTGCCACTGTTGTCAGTCACGGTTATTAGCCCTTGATTCTTGATTACCGCTGGTTGTCTCATGCATACTGGATAACCTGATGCTACCGCTCATCATCCAATATCAATGTCCCCCACACAAGCCAAGTTCTCCATATCCCAGTTTCCCGGTCCATTCACTCCATATCTGTCTGCCTGCGCCCCGGTCATTCCCACTAGCCTGTCCTGTTTCTGAAGCACTGCGTCAATATCATTCAGCAGTTCAAGACGGGCGGAAATCTTACCAACCCAGTCACAGTCTCTCAAAAACTGGATATGTCGCATCTGATCTCAGGCCGTGTCTCGAAAGTATGTGGTATATCCACGCCGGCTCGTTGGGGAACCATTGTTCAACCTGGCGTGCCTGGGTACAGGCAAGGGAACTGGTGTACATTGGCCAGACAGTGAGTCTCGCTTTTCAGAGGGAGACTGCAAACATGGCGGAAACACCAGAGGCCAACTCTACGCATGATTACCCTCCAGTTGTTTGCTTGATTAATTGGTCGTATGTTGTGGGCCTGTTGCAAGTGCCTGATGAGAGTCCCGAACATACGTGCCTTTGCATTGCAGGCGGGGAAAAGGCATCTGCCACGACGGCTGGGTCGAAGATTGAGAAAAGGGAACGCCCTTTCCATTACTGTAGGCCGGGGATCAGTTGCATATTTTCTTGTTGTGATTTCTTCTTCTCGGAGCACGGGACCGGGATGGGGGTTGGCCATGTTGATTGAATGATGGCTGGGCTGCTGTGTTGGTGTGTAATTCTGCTGGTGCTGTGGTACATACCTCTGTCGATAATGTGGTCACATTGTAGTGCTGTTGGGGGTTTGATCAGTGTAAAATGTTGGAGGGAGAGGACAAAAAAATTGGAAAAGTACCGACACAGCACGGCGCCGCGTACTTGCCTGGGAAGCTGACCATCATTCTTTTAGCTTTCGGTAAAGGGGCAGATTCAGGCGTGAATTGTAGCAGCAGACCTGTGCACCATACCTGCCACCAGCCATAAAATATGATATTTACAGGCAGTAGAATGAAAGGCCAAACATCCCGATCCCTTAAAAGAACATGTCCCCTTTGACCATTCTCAACACCGCAGTAAAAGACGCAACGTACAAGCAAACAAAGTAAAATACATTAATATACAATATCCCCATAATCAATCACTACTCCCACAAGAACTGATAGATTTACAGAAGTTCATTACAATAGTACAGTACACACTCTCCCTCTACCACTGAATACTCCCACACTTAAAATATCCCATTTACCCCCAACCAAAGGCAATAAAATCTCCCCGGTAACATCTGCATAGACAAACGTCAATAAGCACCAAAACTCTAACTCATCGCGCAATTAACCAAGATTATTCCCAAAGATTTGTCCTCAAAATTTTCCCTCAAGTCACCCATGTCGGTCGAGTATCTTTTTCCAAAGAAAAGACCTTGGAGGGGCTCAACCACGCTTTTCATGCATCTTGCGACGCTCGATGTCGACGACCAACTCTGCCATGCTGTGATAGGTTGGCAGGTTCGGATCAATCAACGAGGGTTCCATATCTGGGCCTCTGATGATTGTAGGTGTCTTTGCCGGGATATTATGCGGGCTGGCCGGGACGGTATCGACATCTGTTGTCTCGGCATTGTCATTGGCCACACGATTTTCGACCAGATCCAGCAGGTGAGCTGGATAGGGGTCGAAGGACAGACTGGGCTATCTGGATGTGCTGGGCAGAGGGAGGAGGCGGGATGTGATGATGGTGGTGGCTATGCACCGAAAGAGGCCATGGAGCTGGGGAAATCTAATGAACCCAGTCAGTTTGAGTCCGAGCTGATGTGGGTAGGGAGAATGCTGACAGTCTGGTGTGTGGCAGATTGGTGGTTTGAATATTGATGTGTGTTAGGCCCCTTTTTCAATTTCTTGTCATGCCAAGCCTGATGAACAGATCCCGGGGGACGTTCATGTGTGCCAATTTGGTGTTGTGGTCCGTTGGCATGGGTTCCATCACCAGGCAATATATCATCAAAATTGAGGAGGAAAAAGCGTTGTATTTTTTGTTAAGAAAAGGAATCACCCTCCAAAGCTCAGCAAAGCCTATAAAAATACCGTCCTCCACCATCCCCACTTATCGCCCCACAGTGTCTTTGTTTCGCCCATCTTGTCGCGAAGTCTCGGAGACAAAATGTTCCATCTGGATATGGAAATCGGCAAAAATATCGAGCCCGGGGTTCATCTGAGCTTGACGACCATTTAGGGCCGCCAGCCGGGCCTGGTCCGCCTCCGGGCGGACCGCCGAAGCCGGGCATAGCGCTGTGAGCAGTGGCTGCCATGGTGCTCGTAGTCTGTGAAATTGATGTTAGTGACAAAAAGTCGAAAATGATTGAATGTCAAGTACCTCAAGTTGTCGACTGAACTTGGCGAGAGATTCCTACTCTTCTTGTTGACTCGGATGATAATGGTGAGGCTTGTCAGTTAAAGTGACGGTGAAAAAGGACAGGCATAATAGAGGAGAGCAAAATAAAACAAAAGGACTTCCACGGTAGGTCACTGCGGTCAGGCTAAACTGCCGTTGAGCACAGGGCAGTACTCTGGGTGGTGAGCAAGGCGTTGCAGTGTAAGATAATGGTACTAAGTTGCGTGCCTGGGCTGTTTGGATCCTAACCTACTGGGTGCTTGGACATGTAGAAACCGCACTCCATGTTGTCATTGCACACCGAGGCAAATGTGTGTAAGTTAACAGGTTACGCCAACAATGATATTATATACGAAGCAAAAGTGTAACGAGAAACCCTCCAGGCAACAGCCAGCCAGCACTGATTCGTTAAGACAAACCAGTAAAGGGCAAAAATGTCAGGTTGAAAAAGCGAAATCCAAAGAAGAGCTTTGTTATAGCGCAAATACCTATGTTTATAAACATAACATCAAAGGTGAAGTTGCTTCAAAATCCATCTATGAAGTCTCAAGACACAAAGACAGCATTATCCGAGAATCGAAGATCTAAATACTAAAAGAACACTCGAAATGACTCCCAAAGTAGGTAGAGCCCCTAGGACCCCCAGCTGTCATTGGAACGAGGCCAGTCATCCAGGAGGCCTTGCTGCTAAATTATCTGGCAAAAGCTGAGTTCAGTAAAATCCTTGAGGTTGGGGATACCTTACCATGTTCTTCTACAGCCTAGGAGTTGCTTTCTTGCGGCCAGTGACATTCTGCCACTGATGATGAATAAAGACCGCGATCTTTTTGAAAAGTCATTGAATCGATTCGGATGGATTTTCCTGATGACCTCACATTCTCCTTAGACTTATTTTCACAAGGCTGTTCTCTCTTAGTCATCTGTCTATGGTGCATCACCTTTAACCCAAAGGCCTCGGAAAGATACCTGATATAGTTGCCTTACACCCAGTGTTCTAAATATGAACAATGACACAAGGAACAGCTGTCTCTTGAGTTTCTTGCGGGATCAGAAGTCAAATAACGCTTTTCCCAGTTCTATCCATAGGCCATGTTAGCATAAACCAATTTTGAGCGGCAAACAACTTCGGCATACTTTGGTGGTCTGTCCTGGGCTTTTTTTCACGAGCAATAGTTTTGTAACCCCTCGCGCACTACATTATGGCAAGCTGGACAGAGAAATGGCCTTTAATATAGGGATTTTCCATAATACTGTCTATTCTGACATACCTACCAGCATATCCCTGCCCTTTTAAAGGCTTAAGGTGTCGGCTTTGGTGACTATTACCATCGTAGGTATCTCAGCTGTTACGAACATCACTAATTCCACTATGATCCACAGTTAAAGAAACTTAAAAGTAAGGTTATTCACAGATATTTAGCGTAAAAATCTCATACCTTTTTCTTTTTGAAAAAAGAAAGGCGTAGTGTAGGCAAAAGACATATTATCAGGGTTAGGGATATATGTGGCTAAGGGGGTCCCAAAATCGATTTGGAGGGTCCCAAAACTATTGCTCTTCTTCACCACCTTCGACCCTCGGGTGGGCTTGTTGGCCCAGGGGAGGCTGTTCGTCCCCAGATTTGTGTTCCATTGTTTGACATCTAGTCAACCCGCTTGCCCAACGGGCCAACGCTAACCGAGGTCGACAATTGTCAAATCAACGCCTCCTAACACAAAGCTACATCGAACTTTTTGCGAAAGACAGTCGTCATCTCTGCTCAAAGCCTCAAGCTAACATTCCGGGGCAGAGTCTGATCATCTCATCCCCGGCAGCGACGGCGATGGTGATAACTTTAGCACCAAGCCATCCTCAGAGCCGTCTCAAAGAATGCTGAAGCCCCCCATCGTCACACTACCGCTGTGGAACAAGCGCCGTAGAAAACACGAGGAGGATAAGTATGCCCATTCTATCTCTCTCTTGTTGTTTTCGAAGCTGTGGCTGACTGTTTCTGCAAAACCAACAAGATCGGAGCGGCACATATATAAGCCTTCGGGTGACGGTGGGATGGCATCAGATTCCAGATGGCCATCGACCTCAGCACCAGCCCTGAAGTACTCCCACAGGGTCCTCGGTTCCCCAAGGAACCGCCTTCATCACGGCAGTGGCGAAGGGGTGGGCAGGATCCTCCGGCAAGAGACGCATGGCGGCAGCCTCGCGCCACTCCACCATGTACTCTTCCGAATTGGAACGTTCATCGGGTAAGTCCCAGGGAGCGGGAGGGTTCCGGCCGTCTTAGTGGCAACCCAAGTTGGCGGCGGGTGGGGGGGAACTGGGCGCAGGCAATACAGGCGATCTGGTGGGGGTCAGCTATATTTCCCTAGTCTCCATTCCTCCTTGATACAACTTACTTGTTA